GTTCACGGCTTTTAAGTAATGCATAAACCTTCAAGGTGCGAGGCCCTTCGGACCGCGAGGCATAGGCAGTGGCCCACGTTGCCCTTGGTCATAGAAATGATGTAATTTGAATATAAATTATTTATAAATACGTATGTCAAGTTATATTTTTATTACGACGTAAAATATATTTAAGAGTTTACGACCACTGTGCTGGGTGAGATGCTGTTGAAACAAAAAAAGTTATGCATTCCATCACGTACATGAACATTGTCGTAATTCGCCAAGTGCAAATCAGCAAATTCGTAAAATTTTTGTTTATTTTGAACAATCCGGATAATCGAGGTTCTACTGTACTTCACTATGGTGAATTATGCAGTGAAGAGCTACAAAATGTGGAATTTTAGGATTGTTGTTTAAAAGATAAATAAGACCTAGGTCCCCTGTCATTGCAGTGACTCCATCAGTCGCAACACTTACAAATTTATTACGAGGCAATTCAAACCTGTTTATTACCTCATCAAGCACATTTTTGACATTGATACCGTGAGTTGTTTCAATAAGAGTTAGTAGGTCTAACATTTCTTCCTTCATATTTATGTCTGCAGATACATAGCAGACAAAAAACGGCCAATTGTGAATCATTCCGGATATCTGTAGATTCGTCCAGATCTAAACTGAATGCTGTACAATTTTTCAAATCACGCATCAAATTATTTTCAACATTTTTACTAATTTCGCTAATACAGTGCTCGGTTGTACGGCGCCACATAGAAACTTCTGAAATCAATTTATGCAGTTTTGTATTATCTGGATCCAAAACTTTAATCACTTCTTCCAAGTTTCTTTTAATAAATTCTCCTTCTCCATATGGATGTTTGGCATGAGCAATATTCCAAGCTATCAAAAAACTTGCTTTGTTGACAACATCATCTTTGTGACTAAAAGAAGAAGAGAGTCCTTGTTGCTTATGAAGACCTGATTGCAATGACTTATGTTTCTCTGTTTGCAATTTTGAATTGAGTGGATATTGAGTTGAAAAGTGGGGATGACTTACTTCGTAATATCAATGTGAATTTCTTACTTTGTAGTTTGCAATTGTAACTTTACAAATAAGACCTGACTTTCCATTACAGGTATATCTTGGGTTACGTTGTTTTGAGTTAAGTCGTTCTCAATTATACGTCATTTGTTTAAAAAAAATATATATGGAAAAATAAAAATCAAGTTTAAATCATTTTATTTGACTTTATGTCTGTCTGCCACAAATCTGTGACTGTTTGTTATTGTCATCTTATTTAGCTGTCTTTAAGAGCTCAATCATTGGCATTTTCCACAGTAGTTCCAATATCTACTGTTTGGCATCGTCATCAGCCCCACTCGATATTGGTAAATTTAACATAAATTAGTTTATTTTCTACTATCGCAAAGTAATTTTAATAACTGTATTTGTTATTATAAAATAAGGTGATTTTGTAAGGTTAAATGTGTTAGAGCAAACCACATTCACAAATAAAGAGTCTGCGGTATACTGTAAACATCGCCAAATTGTAAACACATATATTTACAAGTATGTACGCACATGTATTCATAAATTTAGATTACTTTTTTTTCTGTACTATATTAAAAACTAAAATTTATTTGTTTGTAAGATTAAAATAGATCTTTATTAACCATATACAGTAGAGCCTCGGAAACTCGGCACTCGATAACCCGGCACTCCGGATAACTCAGCCACACCCTGGCAGAGCAAAAAAATCCTTAGTTAATTAATTTTCATGATAAAGACAGCTTTATGCCTCATAAAGTATTTTTCTGAGGTCTGTCTTATCAGGTAAATTACTGTACACAGTGTATTCATTAATTTTCATTTTTATGTAGTAAAGGCTCTATACCTTCATAAAGGACATACTTTTCCTTTGTTTAAGGGTATTTGGGCAGTTTATTCTCTGTTGTATTCTCAAGTAAACAATACATATAAGTACAGTACAGTATTTTCTGAGGAAACACTCGTACTTATTTTTTTAACCCCATTCCCGATAACCCGGCTTTTTCACAAACTCGGCCACCCTTCGGTCCATATTAGGCCGAATTTTCGAGGCTCTACTGTATTATTAAAAATGCATTTATAAATAAAATACAGAACTGAGAATGGTTATTTGTGGTTTAGCATAGTGACAGGTAAATTTGGAGTCAAGTAAACAAAGTTGCCTCTCCTGAAACAAATTACCAATGTAAGGCGAGGTATACCTGTATTGTCAATAAAAGCAAATTTTTCTACCCATTCTTTCTGAAAGCGTCTATTTTCTTGTTCATATTTTGATATTTTCTGAGGTTGTATAAATAAAAAACTAAAATTAAAATGTCTAAATATTAATTTTTGTTTCAAAAGATTCATAAATGGCGCAACAAATTTCCGAAGAAACTGGGCTTCTTAAAATAAAATAAGAGTAAAAACAATTTAGAATAATTAAAAGCAATAATTTCCTTAAACTGTACATATGTCTTTAGAAAGCTTGCATCAAATTTGTATTAAAAAAAGTAATAAAAATGTTCAATAAAAAGTTCTATCATATTAAAATGTTTGTGTAATTAAAAAAATTCTGATATAAAAGTAAAATGTATCTCAGTGGAAGCTGCGCTTAACTCGAGTAAGAGCTGCAAGCGGCTCTGAGAGCCACATTTGCCCACCATTGTAATAGTCTTTTATAGATTTAATTTTTTTATATTGTTCACTGATAAAAATAGAAAATGATTCATTTATTTTCATTGTAGCAAATAATATATAGATTTTGTTTTTTTGCTTACTTTTATCTACCTTATAAATGACTATTATTTTCTCAATAAATGATATTGTCTTCAAATATCAATGTCAAGTTATAACTTCTTGTAACAAAAGTAGGTTTCAATGAATAATGTAATCAGTTGCCTTGGATATAGTTATTCCTCTCAACAAATATATTTTACAAGAAATTCCCCCCATCAAGCATGACAGAATACTTTTTATGAGAAAGTGGAGATTTTTTATAAAATTACTATATACAATACATTCTGAGTAAAAACACTATTGTCTTTTAAAAGATTTCCTTGCTGTCTACCTTTAGTAATAGACACTTTAGTATTATTTTGATGGTTGATGCTATGATGCTGTTTCTGTAGCCCTTGATAAAACCATTCCTTAATTCCACGTTGATAAAAGAAAAATAAATTGTGTGTATGTTAGTTAGATGAGCAATAACACTTTCTAAATAATGGACTCATTAGGTCGTTACTTTCGATTGGATACTAGAATGTCACCTAGTCACTATGGAAAGATTTTTTTTTAAATTTGTTATAGAAGTGACACGATAAGACCTTTTTTTTAAGTTTAAATCGGAAATATGATGAAGTATGTTTAAAATATGCCATTTTCTAAAATATTTAAAAATGCAACTTAAGGGAAATTCCCTCGTCAAGCACGAACATCATGTGGTCACCGACGTCACTGCAACGTAAGTGCAATCACCGATCCAAAATCAATAAAATGTTTATTCTATAGCTAATATTTCCACAAAATAAGTAGCCTATACTTTCTGTCGGAACATAAAACGAATATAACCAAAATTTCATCTGGATTGGACAAAAATTGCAGGAGTTAGAAGAAATTCATACACACGCGACGATTGTGTTTATATTAGTAGCGATTTCGGATCGTACTAGATAATATACGGTAGAAAACTTAAATCAAACTAGAATGGAATTTTTATTTAATCGGTCTGAAAAACCCAAAATAAATTAAACATTATAAAGTGCTGTAGATTGAAATTCTTTTTAATTTGTGATTTACTTATTCTATTTTTTCTATTGTTACCGTTTTTAGAAAGAAAACTTAACCGAACTTAAGAAATAAATGCGTGATCTGGAAGCTGGCCAAACTTCAGATTTAACTTCAGATTGGTCAAAACAAATGATTATTAGAGTTGAAAATTAAAAAACAATGTTTGAAATAATTGTAACAATGTATTTTTAGATATTTTGATTATTTGTTTGGCAGAAACAAAAATGATTCTGTACATTTCTTTTGAATAGTTTTGTTACTTTAAATGGCTTCTAGTAGTATATACTGTAGATGTTTTTGATTCAACAGTAGTGTATTTACTAGTATTTAACTGTCTTTTTATTAGTCTAAAGTTAGTTTTTATTTTTATAAATTCACACAATATCATAATATTCTTATATGAAGCTTTCATTTTGTATAATATGAGAATTCTTGAAAAATATTCCTGGATATTATTATCTTGAAAAAAATTAATGATTTTAATTATTAATGTTATTTGTTGATCTGTTACATTTTGATTATTATATTTTTTTATGAATATTTTTATAGTTTAACAAACATTATTTTAATGAAAGAGATATAACGTTTGTCCCTTTTACAGTCAAGGACGTATTTGATTATTTCCGTGCGGTCTTGGCAAGCAATGAACATAGCGAAAGAGCTTTTAACCTTACTACCGATGCTGTGAATTTGAATTCGTCCAATTACACTGTCTGGTAAATATTTCTTTGACAAATTTCATGTATTAATAATTAAGATTTTTTTTTTTATTCGTAATAATTATTAAGAAAGAGAAATCTGTATTTATTTATTACAAATATAATGAAAGCAAACTTTTATAAGAAATGAATTTAACCACTTAATTTAAACAATTTAATCTTGTGTTTTTTGTTTAACGCAGGAATTTTCGACGTGTTTTGTTGAAAGCGCTTAACAAAGATCTCAAAAAGGAACTAAACTATATACAAAGTATCATTGAAGATAACCCAAAAAATTATCAAGTTTGGTAAGTTTTGAGATGTTTTCATTCATAAAAGAATTTTCTTGTTATTATAAAAAAATTAAGCTATGTAATAACAACAGTAATAAATAATTTTATTATTGTAGAATTCTTAAAATTTGTTGTTAAAATATTTTACATTAGAAGATAATAGTATAAAAATATATAAATATAGACAGAGAAGTAAGCAGAAAATACAGGTTGATCTTCGCTAATCCGGCATCTTTGGAACCTGTCTTATGCCGAGTAAGTGATTTTGCCGGATTACTGATAGTTAGGTTAGAATACACTTAACCTAACAGTTAACCATTTCATCCTACCTTTAAAATACTCTGTAAATCAGTATATGACGGTTAATACGGGAAAACTATCAGCAAAGAACTTGAGTAATTCTTCTCACTATTTCTTTATTTCATAAACTGTAGATGAGCCAATGCTTCATTCATGTTATGCATAAACATACAGCTGTCAAGTTTTTTCAGAAGTTCTATCTTGTCTGTTATAGACAATGTGGTGTTTGCGTTTCAAATCACAAGTAGTACTTTCTGTAGTCATTGAAGCCATAATTGGGGCTAATTGTTGGCAAGTTATAATAAAAATGAACAAAAGAGAAGTAGAAATGCCTTACCAGTGTTTGAAAATGCTCAAAAACAGTTTGTGCAACAGTTAGTTATCAAATATCTCTTGTAAAAATTAGTGCTGGATTGGGGATGGTCAATCTGTAACGGATAATCTGCTGTTTATTATTGTCAATAATAAAGAAAGATACGATTAATTGAATAACGTTTCGTACTTAAAAACATAGATTGTTGCCCAAACTGTAAAATGTCCATTTTAGAATTACATTTGCTTTCTATAAAAATATTGATTGTAATTTTCCTTATTTCTTTAATTAATTTCTTGTTTTTTTGCAAAAAATTATTATGAAATCTTTTTTTATAACTTTATTACTGTATCATTTATAATTTCATTAGTTTTAAATAAACTTTAACGTTTTACTAATAATTTCATTATTGCAAAACAGGAAAATGTGTTTATAATACCGTAATAATAATAAATTAGGGAGTCTGATAACAGATTATTAATGTGATAATTGTATTGTCATTTCAGCACAAAAATCATTATCTGTTTAAACATTATAGAAAATATTTATTTATTTATAAATTACTGTACAATGTATGAAGTGCATTCTCACTAATCTGAATTAATGTGATTGTTTGGACCAGTGGAATTGTATATAATGAAAAGAAAAGTCAAAAATAGATGTAGACAAATAAATACATTTGAAAAAGTATTTATACTGTATTTGGTACATACACACTATGACAAAAGTAATAGAACACCTATAATAAAAAAATAAAATTATATTGGTAACCACTATTTTGTTGGCTCATTCTTTGCAGTGTTGACAACCTCTGCCTATCATGAAGCCTGACAACTATTGGTGGAAAACCAATAGTAGTCAGTAATTTGGCACCATTCTTCCAGAAGAGCAGTAATGAGATTATTCGCTAATGTTGGATGATATAGTCTGGCTCTTAGTTTGCACTCAAATTTATCTGAAAGATGTTTAATTGGGTTGAGATAAGGAGTCTGTGTATACCAGTCCAGTTCTTAAACACTGTTGTTTTCAAATCACCATTTTGCACTGTGTTAACGGAATTTCATTTTCCGTTTGAAATTCCATTAACCCAGGATCTAGTTTGCTGGCAAACCAATAAGCCAACGTATTAAACTCATTGGAGTTATTAATGCACTGGGTAGGTCTGGAGTTAAGATTTTTTATAAACAACATCACTAGACCCGATATATTATAAAACTAGACACCAAGAAAATGCCGAAATTCTAATGGGCTAGTTTAAGGCTGATTACTAAATGAATTACGTAACCAATTTGGCTCTAGAGGTAAGCGTTAGGCGCCATCTTGTATTAACATTAATAATTATAAATNGCAATGACAAGTTAAAAAATGTAAAAATCTACATAACAGAGGGAAAGTAAAAATCGATCAACAAGTTGCGTAACTTTCCTGGCAACAACATTCAAAATTGTGGTGACACTATCTATTATGATATTTTATTTAAAAATTTTTTATATTGATTAATTATTATCATGTAGTAACATTAATAATTATAAATAAATTAATTAATTAAAATAATTTAGAACCGCTGGGAGAAAAAATCGGCCCGGAGCGGGACTCGAACCCACAACTCCTGCTTACCGTGCAGATGCGTTGCCAGTTACGCAATCTGGACCTCCAGCATATGTAAGCTAACGTTATAACCATCGATGATTATTACAACGCCAGCTGGGGACACATCCAGCACCCATTTAGTAATTAGCCTTAAACTAGCCCATTAGAATTTCAGCATTTGGTTGGTGTCTAATTAAGATTTTTTGTATAAAAGCACTCAAAATGTGCAGTTCTTGGAAAGTGGTATGGGTTCTTTTTTTAGAGATGATAAATGCCAAGACGACATGCTATATGATATGATTAACCAGTTACTTCGTGCATGGTTTTTCTAAAGATTTTTCCAAAGACATTAGTTTACAGGTTTGATATGAGAAGCAGAAATATTTAACACACTTGGAATCAATAATTATCATGAAAATGGCTACAGTACATTACTATTTATGTACTTTGATAATTAGAGTTTAATATGTACTATTTTAGTTTTTAGATTATTAATTTTTTTATATCTTTATAGGCATCACAGACAAGTATTAGTAAAATGGAGTCATGACCCTAGTCAAGAAAAACAGTTCACTGAAATTATTTTAAATTTGGATGCAAAAAACTATCATGCTTGGCAACATAGGTGAGTAAAATAATTTCTTTTTTACATATAAAATATATATAAATAGAATTGTTTCATTCTTCCTTGTCTTATGTTTCAAAAATACTATTTATAAAGGCAATGGGTCCTACAAGAATATGGATTATGGGACAACGAGTTAGACTTTGTTAACAGATTATTGGCTGAGGATGTGAGAAACAATTCGGCATGGAATCAACGTTACTTTGTTATTAGTCACACAACAAAATTTCCCGAAAATGTTTTAGAGAATGAAGTCAAGTAAGATTATCTTAATTAGTATATTGGAATTAACTAAAAGATTTTTAAGATTATTTATTTATTATTGTTCTGAAAATCTAAAATTTGAATTCTTAGGGTGCATTTGTTAATAGCAATCGCTCTGCGTCTCCGCTACTACGGGAGTGCGCTGCTGTTTGTAGGCATTTAGGAACGACAATGAAAGAAAGTAAGATGGCAGCGCTCGCACTATCGATAATCTCGTGATTGAGGAATCTATAATTCTAAAATGTGAGCTTTTAAAGGCAAAAGAAGAGCCCCAATTGTAAAATTTAACCATAAAATGGATTATTTGTTGAAAGAGCATTCAAAATAGCCACAAAAAAAAATTCGAAAAGACACTTACATCACTGCGTGCACTAACTTGCGCTTTCACAACCTCTAAATTTTCATTCATAAAACCACTTAATGGACCCCAAAAGGAAACTATCTGAGCCATGGAGGACGCCATGGTGTTTTCCACCGCAAACTACTGCTACAAGCGGCTGTTTTTGCCGTTCAACGGCACACATTCTGACCGGAATTTAGGAACGCATTCTGCAGGAATTTTTAAACGGGTGTCACTCACGCAGAGTTACATGGAGGAATAAAAGAACGCAACCTTAATGTTCTGAAATACCATAAAATGTATTTCAGAGCATTAAGGATCCAAGGAAGCACTGAAATACAGGAATGCCTGTATTATATTCCTGTATTTCAGTGTATTTCATTGCTTCCTTGATATAGTATTTTTCAATTACAGTAATACCTCGACTTACGCAAACCCAGAGTACGGGTTTCAAATCTCATCGATTCCTCTTTTGTTTGAGCGCCATGCAACTCTTGATTACTCACTCCCCCCCCATACTATTGTTCAGCTTACATGTTCGGACGTGTCGTGCGGAATCGACACATAGCTACAATTTATTTTGTGTTATTTATTTCTGTGTTTGTTATATCTACGGAGACTCGAGAGACTGTATGTGGTGATTTCTTGTAACTGTAAACGAATCAAAAGACGAGATAAGATTAACGAGAACATTTATTAGCTTACATACATCCGACTTGGATTTTACACAAATTGGGAAATTATACCCTGACTTACGCGAATTCGACTTACGCGGTTATCGCTCAGTCCCACCTATTGTGTAAGTTCAGGGTATTACTGTATATTAATTTTTAATATTTTTGGCATTTGCATTGCTTTTGTGGATTCTTTTATTTATTATTTTTGCTTGTGCAATTTTTTTATGTCTACAACACTATTGTCTATTTAATGAATGATAATGTAAATAAGTTTTTAGGTTTTTATGTGCAATGACAAGTTAAAAAATGTAAAAATCTACATAACAGAGGGAAAGTAAAAATCGATCAACAAGTTGCGTAACTTTCCTGGCAACAACATTCAAAATTGTGGTGACACTATCTATTATGATATTTTATTTAAAAATTTTTTATATTGATTAATTATTATAAAATGGCAAAAGTTTAATTTTGAAGCTAGAGATGAGTTTTATTATTATTATTTTTTAAATTGTATTGATTTATCTGTATAATGTTAAGTTTTATCTGTTAAATGTTTGAATAGTTTTCTTTTAAACATTTTCTTTGCGTTTTTTAACTTTAGTATTTTCTTTTATTATTTCGCATCCACTTTGGTTACAGTGTTTAGTGACCACAGATCTATCGTCATTACTTTTTATTGCTCAAATGTTTTCCGTGAATCTTGTTTGGAATTCCTCTTGAATTCCCCTATATAAATGTGGGGATCGGTGCAACCGCACTCCAGCTTATATACAATATTGCTTCTGTTCCATATTCTCATCTTTGATTCAATTTCTATATTTTTTATTTTTTTGGCTAATTAATTATGCTGGTACTAATAGAATACTACTTTCCCTAATTTTGTTTTTTCAAATAAACCATTTACATATACAGTAGAGCATCGTTTATCCGAAAGTCGGTTGTCCAAAAGAATTCCAGTCGGCCTAAAGTATCATTTTTATTTGTTTTTTATATTTTTCAATGTATTTATTTCGTTTGTAAAACATAAAGAATCATTTTTAACGATACAATAGTCACGATTATTATTTTAAAAAGTTTACGTTAGGCTTAACATCGACGAAAATTCAATGCAAAGCGACACGCAATGGAGAAAAATTTCAACACGGGATAGGTTAATATATTTTTTCGCACATAATCGGTTATCCGAAAAATTAGTTATTTGAACAACCCCAGTCCCCAATTGATTCAGATAAACGACGCTCTACTGTATCATTTTAACAAATTTCATATCCTTGGTATTTTCTCCATTCGGCTTAGAATTTTGGATGTTTTTTTAATTAACTATTAATGATTTTTATGCTATACCCATTAAGTAAATACGTTTTTACGACGTTATTTCTTTTTCTTGATCCTTCGGATCGGATGTTCTTTCAATGATTTTCTTCATAAACATATTGAATGTATTCTTTTTGACATGCATTGGTATTTTTGATTTATAATGTATTACTTTATTGTCCTCACTGTTTTTTTCCATGTTTTTTAATACTTATATTGCTGTTTTTTATACCGTGTTTCCCCGAAAATAAGACATCCGCAGAAAATAAGACCTAGCACAGATTTTGCTGAATTGCGAAATATAAGACCTCCCCCTGAAAGTAAGACCTAGCGAAATTGTTTTTAGTCATAACGGTCATCGACAGATGGTTGAAAGTGGCCGTTGGCTTTTTGAAAGTACAGCCACTGATTGGTCAGCAGACAATTACGCCACATGGCATGATTTGCATAAGACTATGGCTTGGGAATCACAGATTTGCATAACGTTACGGCTGGTGATGGCTAATTGGTCGGCCGGGAATCACGCTACATGACATTTGCATAGTGCTACGGTTCAATAAGCACTAATTGGTCAGCGAGTTTGATGTTGACGCTATAAAAAGGCGACAGTTCGACACACCGGATATACGTCACTCTCGTCTAAGTTCGACTTGGGAATTTTTTTGTTCAATAATAAATGTGAATTCTTCTTCCTGGAAAAAATAAGACCTAGCACATTTTTCAGAGCAAAAATTAATATAAGACACTGTCTTATTTTCGGGGAAACACGGTAGTTATTAGTACATCTAAATATTATTTTCTTATACCTATTATTTTCTTCATTTGCTACAGCAAATTTTATTTCATTATTTACACTATTTATTGTTTTTAATTTTAAAGTGTTGTTGCATTTTAAGGTTGTTTGGGTGTTTTACTTTATACAGCAGCTATGAATTAGAAAAGATTACAAATATACGTAGGCCACATGCAGTTAAATAAATTCAGTTTGGCAAAAGGACTGGTGAAAGTTAAGAAAATTTCAAAGTCTGATATATTGAAGTTTAAATTTTTAATGTGTCTCTGTTGTGATCAATAATTAATAAATTTTGACTGGTGATTGTTTATTCAATATTTGTAAATATTTTGTTCAGATAAAGTAATCTTTACAAAAATATTTAGTTTATATATATATAACAATGTTTATTGTATATTATTACTTCCCTGGGATTGTTATATATGTTACCGGCAAAGTATGAAAAGCTGGCATTCTATAGAATACCTAGGCATTGTATATAATGCCTAGCATTTTTAGGCAATCTATGAAATATGAGAATTATTACATACTTTCCCTAGGCATTGTATATAATACCTAGGCATTCTATAGAATGACAAATGCTATTTAGGCAAAGTATGAAAAAAGGTTCTGATAAGGCTATTATATAAATGACGTGCATTCCTCAAAAATACAAATGTTATTCTGAAAAAATAATGAGAGTGCCATTAAAAAAATTTATTCAAAATACGTAAAGAAAAATGAAAGTTGTACAAAACAAAATTTATGCCTTTCTTATTAAGGGAAACAAAATTTTCATATAAAAAATTACAATTAACCTACTTGTTGCAACATGGTAGGCTTGAATGACATTTTGAATTACATTTCATTACATTTTTCACGCAAAGACATTTCATATTTTGGCACTTTGTTTTACACATACATTTGACGAATCCTTGGCCGCTTCCACTGGACTGAGCAATTGCAACTGACCGGAGAGGAATTTCATGGTCAGGAATATCTTCAATTCTAAGCAAGTTCTTGGGGCATGGAGTGAATTGTGATCTCGCATATACTTGTTTTAAAATTCCTTCAGAAGTTCCAAGTCGGTAGAAACCATCCTCTGTCACACTCATTACAATTGCCAATATATTGCGCGAATCACCTCGCCCCTTGTCGACGTCAGGAATAGGAACTCGCACAGTAGTTCCCAAAGAAGCAGTGGGAAATTTTTTTTCCGAATTTATTTTCATTTTTTGGCTTGTATTTCCAGATTGATTTTAGAATTTATTTTACCTTCAATAGCATTTTCAGTTTTGAAACAAAGGGTGCACAAAATATCCATTTCATCATCTTTACTAGCATGGCCACAGAAGGTATGAATTTTTTGACGACATTTTTTGCATGCAAGTGCATCACTTGTTTCCTTTAAACACACACAACAGGTATCAGAAACGGAAATCTCTTCAGTAAGCATGTCTTCATCGTGTTGGTTTACTCCACTAACGACTATAATCTCATCTTGCGTAATCTGATTAGTTTCACCTTTTTCCATTGTTTTGACGCTTTCTATTACTTTTTCTAGCTGCTCCTCTGTATTTATGTCTTTTAATTCTGGTAGAAAAGAAAGCCCTACTTTAGGTTTGCAGCCAAAAAGAGCTTCGTATGGTGTTCTTTTGATCCCAGAATGATAAGCTCTATTTTTCATAAATTGAACGAAACGTAGTCCTTCACTCCAGCGGTCAGATTTGTTGTCCTGCATCCAAGTACAGAGCATATTTTCGATATCTTGATTAGCTCTTTCGACACTACCCTGGCTTTGTGAATGGCGAGGCTTCCCATGGACGATCTTCAGTGCTGGCCAAAACTCCTTCAAGCTGGTCACCACATTATTCGCAAATTCCCTACCATTGTCAGACTGTAATATAGACGGCGCTCCAAGCAACGAGAATATGTCCACTAGGTTGTAGGCTACTTCTTCAGCTCTTTTCGACGTTAGAGACTTAAGAATCACAAATTTTGTGAGATGATCTTGGTACACCATAATAAATTTGTATTCTCTATCTGGCTGAGACTGAAAGTCAATAAGATCTACTTGACAACGGGAATTAAATTCGGAAAAAATCATAGGTTTCACAACAATGCCCTTTTTAATACCTTTCTGTTTTTTCTGGCAAGGTTCACAAAGGTGGATGTACAGTTCAATATCATGACGTGTAACATTTTTGTATTTGATTGAAAGTTCTTTCAACATTCTATCACGTCCTCCGTGTCCAATAGCCAAATGAGCTTCATGAAGTACGTGAAATAACTCTGAGTCCGTGACGTAATACTGTATAGTACTGACGCCTTCTTTAACAGGATAAATGAGTTTACTTTTGTTTTCTACAATCATCACATCATAGCGATTCAGCAACCAATAGTCCCTGGGTTCCTTCTTAGTAGTCATTTTGGCTTTTTGTACATCATTTATTAACTTCTGGTAAGTAGTTTCGGTTAAGAAAATACTGTTTTTTGCAGCATTAACTCGAATTTTGCACAGTTCATCGTCGAATCGTTGTTTCATGTCTATAGACCATGACACCTTCTCCAACACTACAGCTTGCTCCTCCATTTTCATGGACCACAGTAAAAAACTAATTTTTTGTTGAACAAATTTAAGTAAAATTGCGTATTTTGACACTCCCGAACAAACCGCAAAGTGCAACTGACAAATTCTAAGCCTGAGCCGCTCGTTAAAAGTCACGTGCCTTGCCACGTGATATTTGAAACGAAACGGAGATGTATTTCATACTTTGCCGGTTTCTCATTTGGCATTCTATAGAATGCCTAGGAAATCTGTAAAATATAAATCGTTTCATAGATTGCCGGCTAGTTTTAGGCATTATATACAATGCCTAGGCATTCTATAGAATGCCGGATTTCAAACTTTGCCGGTAACATACATAACAGAAGGAAAATATGGGGATTGGTCAAAAAATAACCCCTAAGATTTTTATGTTTTTTTGGACTCTGGACCTTGAAACATCAAGAAATAAAAAAAAATGGATGTTTTTTCTGTATGTGTGGGGGAGGGCAATTTTGTTCATCCTCTTCGAAGCTTAATAACTCCTGTGCCTGTTATCTGAAATTTTGCGGGAAGGTTTGTGTATTAGGGGGATCAATCTCTTAAATTTTGGTGGTTAAAGGTCGAGGGGGTGGAGAGATAAAGGGGGATTGTGTGTCATATCTTGAGTAGGGTTGGACTTAATGAAGATTTTACTGGTTATTAGCATTTACAAATTTTTATAAAACTCGTCTCTACTATCAAAATTAAGTCTTTTGCCATTTTATAATAATTAAAACTATGAAAAGTTTATAATAAAAAAATATCTTAACAGATGGTGCCACAAGTGCAGTTTTAAATGTTGCCAAGAAAATTAAGCAACTCATTGCTGGATTTTTTTTTTAATGTCATTATAATGAGTATCTTCTTTTTTTTTTAGATTATTAAAATTGAATAAATCATTCCTTTTATTACTTCTTACGAACAGCATTAGATCAGAAGTGTTTTTATAAGTCATGTTTCAAATGTTCATTTTGAGTTTATTGTTACAAACCCTTCATTAGTCTACAAATACAATTACCCGAAATGGTTTTCAAAAACAGAAAAATCTAGAACATATAGCATTGTACAGTACATATTAGAGTGTATAATATATGGAGAGCTTTCTCTGTATGTAACTGGAAGTTAATATGTTATCTGTTGATTAACAAATCTATATCAGATTTTGAGTAATTTAATTTACTTTCAACTACAGTAATTGCTTTATTATTCATGAAACTTTAAATGCACAGTGCTTGATGTACTCAAAACAGAAAAATAATCAAGTTTTCTAGATTATCCAAAAGAATGCTGGTCTCATCGAGTTTCCACTGTATATATATTTAATAAAATACGCTTAGTATTTGTATTTTTATTTTCTTCAAGTTTTTCTCAAGTTAAATATAGTAATGTAAGTCATTTTAATAGTCGCAAAAACACGTCTTTTGTATTTTTCCAGCAATAACTTTAATCGTAGAAAAAACATTTTTGGCCCAGTTTAAAGGGTTTAATTATATTTTTTATTCAAAATAATAATTAATACAAGTATTAAAACTGAATTTCTTGTTTTGTGATGGTCTGAATTTTATAAACTTACTTGATAATTGATTTTAAAATTTAAAATTAAAAAAATAATTACGCTTCTAATGGTTATTTATTTATTTTTGATAGATATACTTTAGATTGTATTAAGAAGGTTCCTCATAATGAGAGTGCATGGAATTATCTTAGGGGGTAAGTTTATATGTAGACCTTTATATTAAAAACATTAAGTTGTTATAAAATTGCTAACAAGGAGAGCCTACGGCTTTGGGGTAACGGATTTTGATGATCTTTGGTTTAGAGGTAGTACACCATGTGAGTGTACTACCTGTAAAATACTAAAGTGCAATACTCAAATATAATCAAGAAAATCGAACTTAAACTTTTGTTAGCACTTTATATATAAATTATACGTATTTCTATTCGAGCGTCCTGTGGCAGAGTGGTAACGAGTCTGATTCATAAGCTTGAGTTCTCGGGTTCGATTCTCGCGTATAATTTTTTTTTTAATTCATAAATACTTATAATGTATTTATTTATTTACTCATTCATTTCTTATTATTTATTTATTTTAATTTAATTTCTACTATTCCAAGTCTAATATTTTTATACTTTTGTTGACAATAACGGCGCATTCTTGACACCTATGTGTCAACTTTCCCATCTAATTGTTATCACTAACGGTGACCGATCTAATTCTCACTAGGAGCGTTTTTCTATCAGAGTTCTTTTTCACTCACTCTTTAACAGTTCGTTTCTAAATTTCGACACGAATAGACGTATTTGTGTAGTAAAACTTATTTTGAAAAATTATTTTATAATTAAAAAATGTCGTCAAGAGAAGCAAGTTCTTCATGTTGTGACGAAAAAACTGTTGATGATAACTCTTTATACAGTGATGTATCAAAGCAGCATAGTGAAGTAAAATACTAAAGTGCAAAACTCAAATATAACCAAGAAAAACGAATATAATTTATTGAAGCAATATTATATAATTACATAGCATTGTCAGATGTACATGATCGTGAATGATACTTATGATAAAAACATTCAAAACAAAAATTCTGTCTACACCAAGAACAACAAATAAATGCTGCTTTTTTACAATTGCAAGGTATGTTTAAACGAGAACTTGTTTAACTCCTTAAGGACATAGACATTTTTGAGATTAATTTATTTAAACGTAAAAAATACTTAAAAACTGAAAAAAAACGAAAGAAATGCGTTAATTTTGAAGAAAAATCTTCAAATTTTATTTTCCTTTGTCTCGCCTTTCTGTGAAATTTAACACCGATGAGTCATTGTTTACACATCTGGATGACCTTGAACACAGCTGGAGTTGGATTTCCCGGGACATTCTCATAGACGTCTCGGGATGACAAGGGTTTAAAGTAGGGTGACTACTAGCTAGGCCTATATTTTTAAATATTTTTAAAAAATTGAAATTTTAATTGCGATTTCCGACCCCATCTAATTAATTAAATTTATATATAATAAAATATATTAATTAAAAAAATTAAAAAACTATCGGAGGTCGTTTTTGACATCAGAAACTAGCTTTAAATAACTTTAAGGAAAGAAAATCCGTGCGCTAGAACTTTAGAACGATGAATTAATTTGATAAAAAATCCCATTAAAAAACAATTAAGCCTTAATCGAGCCTTTTCAAAGGCTCATTAAAATCGCGATAAATTTTTTTAGCGCAGGAAAAAAATTTTGAAAAAATTTGGAGACAAAAAACATTCCAAAAATTCAAAAAAAAAACCTTTAAGGACCGCGTTTTATGTAACGCTATGTAACTTGCCCGAGTTTTCTCGGGTTATGGGCTTAAGTTATATAATATATTAAAATAAATAAATAATAAGAAATGAATGAGTAAATAAATAAATACATTATAAGTATTTATGAATTAAAAAAAAATTATACGCGAGAATCGAACCCGAGAACTCAAGCTTATGAATCGGACTCGTTACCACTCTGCCACAGGACGCTCAAATAGAAGTACGTATAATTTATATATAAAGTGCTAAAAAACTTTAAGTTCGATTTTCTTGATTATATTTGAGTATTGTACTTTAGTATTTTACACGTAGTACACTCACATGGTGTACTACTTCTACACCAAAGATTGTCAAAATCCGTTACCCCAAAGCCGTAGGCTCTCCTTGTAAGTATTGTTAAAATTAATATATGAAAAAAATGTAAATTTAAAGAAATTTTCGAATGCAGAATATCTAATATGAAGTTTATTAAGAACAATGAACATAAAATTTACAGGAAAAGATTTATGAATTTTTGGTATGATTTTGTTGGTCTGTGGAGAAGTATGAAAAATTTTTTAATTTATTTTTATATTTTTCTGCTATTATAATGCATAAATAAATTACATAGTCATTATGTCTTAACTAATTATGATAGTCTTCAATGTACCCTATGAACCAATGACCAGTGTTCAAAGAAAACAAAAAATTTGCCACGAACGTTTTCAAACTCCCCAGAATTCTTCTTCGAGTGTTCGTTGCTGGATGTCCGATGTAATGTAAAAGCTTTGGAACACAATCGTTCGAATCAGACGCGTGAGAAATTTTTTTAAAGAGTTATGTCGCACTTGCGCATTCGTATGTCTAGCAGAGCCTGCCAGGCTGCCGACAAAACCAACTCCTCCTCATAATTAATGCATGTAGAGAATGAACTAGATTTAAATATGTGCACAGCCTTCAACCATCTTAGGTACTCAGTGGGGGCAAAGTGAAGATAAGCCTTGCCTCAATGTCCAGATCGGTGGCATATGTAGCGAGGGTTGTGGTAGTTCTCGCATATTGTATATCTGCGAGATGCTCCTGTAATCTGACTCCCAACGAGTGCTTAGTTGAGCCGATGTAAACCTGGTCCCTATCATGCCTATTGTCCCTAATGGGGACACTGTAAATGCCAGGGAATCAGTTCGGGTCAGGAGGTTTCTTCCTATTCGGAGGATGTCCAAAATAGTCAGATATCTCCTGAATGTGACACAAACCAGGCATTTCTTGGCAATCTCGGTACACAACAATTTTAAGTACAGGTTAAATGTAATAGGAACCCGTTCTTTGTCTTCGGGTTGATTATCTCTCAGCGTGTCAACTGTGGAGGTGTATGCTGGTAACATTGGGGTACCCATAGGAGGAGGAGGAGGCTATGCAGTGTATAAACATTAATTCGGCAGCAAGTGCTTGAGGAGTGGAAGAATGCATAAAAGCCCTCCTTATTAAAGTCTTGTATGCTGCAATCTAGTAAGGAAAAGGGTCACAAGACCCTATCGGTGTGGATGCTTGACTCCTCCACTTTAATATTAATGTCCAGGAAGTGGACCTCTGAGGGGTTTGATTGTTTGGCTTTCAGGGTCAACCCGTAGGGATTATCGTTAATAGTATTGACAAAGACCATCAAATCTGGCACCGTCCTCCAAAAATGATGATATCATCTATATACCTCCTGTACAAAAGGATGTTGGGGAGGAACTGTGGAAGGACTTTGCTCTCCATCTGTCTTACTACCATTTCACATAGGTCCCTGATAGGGCTGCCCATAGGGATCTCTCTTTCCGTAGTAAAGACTAAACCGTTAAACTGGAAAAACGAATTATAGTGTATTAAGTGGGCCATCTCAAGAATGTAGTGGTGCAATGTCATCATCAACAATACAAAATAGAATGTCCAAGTGCACAAAAGGCTGGAGAAAGCTCAATAAAGGGGTAGAGGAACTTAAAGTCCAACACTGTGATATATTGGGGGAAGCAACATCTTTCAAATGGGTTATGAGCTCTGTTGGGCTAGCAATGCTATAAGAGTACCCCTTAAGGTGGGGAATGAGCAGGGTATGTGCGGGTTATCTACTACTGTCTTTAACAAAAGCTGACACATAAATGAATTGAGAAATACCAGCAATTTAAACTACTGTACTGTGAGCATTTCAATATAGTACAGAAAATTAAGTTCGTAAACTGAGGTTTGGTTGTACTTAGTGTTCCTAAATGTTGTTCAGAAACCAATTTGTTCTCCAACTGAAACAAATTCTCCCATAAGAAACAATATTAAATGGAGTAATTTGTTCTTGACCCCGAAACAAAACCTTTTCATATATGTATACACCTTTTTAGTTGTATTTTATGCATAAAAATGCCTATAAAGGCAATATAATATTATCTATATCTATATTTATTCTATATATTATTAAAAGCAAAATGTTCTGTCGCCACAAAATCAATCACGACAGACAAGTATTTTATCCACACTTTCTGAAATATTATGTTTCAGTTGCTTCGAATTAAATTTTAATTAATTAATTAATTTTAGTTTTAATTAACTGACTACCTAGTATTAATAAATATTAAATATTATTATTATAATATATAACATTATATTAATAAATTTTAGTCATTTAATTTAACTTAAGTGTATTTAAATGCAATTTCTTAAATGCCATTTATATTACGTGAATTTGATTTTGATTCAACTGCGGCACATACCAAAAAAACAGAAATAGTATCTTTCCTACACGAGCATTGAAATCTAATTTAAATAGGAACGTCGTCGACAATTTATATTGTAATGCGAGGCGATCTCGGCACCTCTAACTTCTGACTCTGTAGTCCCGTTGTCAATTGGTCGGGCTGTCGACTTTCTTTAACATAGGAAGTATAGGAAGTTGACCACCAGTGGCCGACTCTTGCCATGTAACTTGTTCAGAAACCGAGTTATTGTACGGCAACCGGAGCAAATATGGCATTCAAAATTTTGTTTGTAAACACGGGCATTTGTAACCCAATGTTTGACTGTAATTAGTCCCTAATTCAGAGAATGTGTTTATATCGATATGAACTTTGCTTGTAGTAAGTTTGGCAAATGTAATAAATTGTTAAATAAAGGATGTTGTGCGGTCACATATTTTTAAACACACTACATGATGGTTATGAAGGAAATTGATACAAACTGTTGTTTTAAAATGATGTCAGGGCTGCGAATTATTAAGTTTATTTTTCCTTTGCTAGAGAAATTATGTTATATGTATAGATACTTTTATGTAAAAAAATAAAACTTTGTGATGTTTACTGTTATACAAATAATTTTATAATACATATAGTAATCATTTTATATATAAAGATTTAAAAAATTTTGGTGGCTATGAAAATACAGGAAAATGTCACTTAATGTAGTTTTGAAATTTGCAGTAATCAATTAACGTGACTAAATAAAATACTATATTTTCTTTTTAGTTTCGTTCACCAGAGGTCAAGAACCACTCGGAAGACAATTTTAATTCGTAGATCTTATTTATGCACATTTCAGATCGATGTTTATACCAATCCTTCCTCAGTCTACAGATGATAAAAAACTGTTTTAATTTTACAGTTATTAAAACACACAAAATTTAAAAAACAAATAAACTTACATAGATGTACAGTACTCTGCACCAGTTTTGATTTTTCTTAGTAACCTTACATCAATCACAGTTACAATCATCTCACACTATGTAACACTTTTACTTTTCCTCTATATGACATCATGCTAATGTCATCCAGCAACATTCCATTATTCAAATTAATTAAGTTATTGTTATTTTTGATTGCGACTTGTTCTTTAAATTTCCGTAAATATACATTTTTTAAATTCACTGCTAATTGGGCTGCAATTTCAAAAAATTGTAGACCTATAAATTTTCACCTCATCCATCCATCCACCTGTCTTTCCTTAATCTCGAGAATGGAGTTAGTTACATAAAAGACGAGATTGGACATGAAAACGTTAGGCCTTCAGCCCCTAACATTTAAAATTGTCTTCAGAGTGGTTCTTGACCTCTCCCAAATGTCATATTGGAAGGACACGACAAATTTATTTTCCTACAAACTCCTTTTTAGTGGTTACAAAAGTAAGACTGCTAATGACTACACATTTATTCGTGTAATTGCATTGAAATCTGTCTGAGACTTTTTTCGTTATACAACTAAGTTACTGTGTTGCTAGTGAAATTATTTAAAATTAATTTTTTTCTGAAATCAAATTTTTGTTTGTTAATTATATTTAATAATAATTGAAATAAGTTTCTTAAGAAAAGATAAATATAAATTTTTGTTTAAATGACTTGATATAAACCAAGCATGCAGTATAGTGTTCTTTCATTACTTCATTTATTTACGTAGGATATTACAGGATCGAGGTCTGACGAAATATCAAGGTTTGTGCGAATTCTGCGAAGAACTGTACAAAAACGGATGTCGTTCTCCCTATTTATTGGCATTTATGATAGATTATTTAGAAGAAAAACTTCTAGGCGGAGAAGAAGATAGCACAACATTACAAAGAGCATTTGATGTAAGTTTATATATTTTTTTATTTTTCAATAGATTCATATCTATGTATTTTCAAACGAGTACCCGAACGATTGGTGCCTGCCTCTTTTAAAAACGTATCTAAAATTTATTGAATGAATTATTAATATGTTTCGTACCTTTCACAAATCATTGCCGTTAGTTAAATATGCAGTTAGTGATCAGAAAATTTTTTATTTAGAAGTTGTGCTTATTGATGAATAGTTAAAAAATTTGAAATTACATATTGAATAATTTCAAATCATGTGATAGATTACAAGTAATGTTGGAAATGGAAACATTATTCATATTTATGAGAATCATAAGAATCAGTAATAATGAAATCAATAGTGATAGATTTGTATAAGTAAAGACAATGCAATTTGTAGATATTAAAATAAAGTAGTAGTTGATCACTGTTCTAATCTATTTTCTTGAATATGAAGGAATCTAATGATATACATTTAGTAGGTGCTTCATATAATCACTACATTTTGCTTATATAATAGATATATTTTCATTTTTTATAGTTTAAATCTAAGTAGAATTAAATACATTTTTTTAAACTTATTTATATGTAGAAAGAATGTTGTCCTTTTAATCATAGGCACACTTTTGAGACTCGTATATATACAATACAGAAGATTTACAGGTGCTCAGAACTGCCAGTTGATGTAAACAGTCTTTTAATATCATTTATGTTATAATTTACATAGCAAAACTTAATCAAAGTTTGAATGATAAAATGGAATCTTTAACAAAATCAAAATCTGTCGTAAGATATAAATTGTCGTTATAAAGTTTTGGTGATGTTTTAATTAAATTTTTCATAATTATTATAATAATGACTCGTATGTATCAATGCATAAATATCATAAAATAAATATCAATTTTCAACCATAATATAAATGTATAAAAAATGTGGCACTTAAATAAAATATAGAGTACAAAACGGTAAATTCAATACTGAAAAAATCTGTGTTGCATAAGTACAGATTTGAATTCAGTGACACTTTGGTACCCAGTCCGGTGCACGGTATACAGTAGGGAGTCTGTTGTAGTCAACATTTTAGAACTATTCATTTATTATTCATACAAGTATTAATATTTTTAAAATACAAAATTCATTACTTTAATTTTGATTATTCTGTTTTTATATATTTATAAAATAAAATTATTTGTATGTTATAAATATTCTATATGAATCCTAATCTTCTTTTGTTGTAATTTCAGTTATGTAAATCCCTAGCAGAAGAACACGATACTGTAAGAAAAGAATACTGGAATTTCATAGCTAGAACTTTAGGACAGAAATATGGACCAAAAGAAGTTCAGTCACACGAAGCGGACAATGTTTCCGAATAGTGTAAAAATGCACACTTTAATAGAACATATTTTGATTTTTTTTTTTTTAACATAATTGAAATATTTTCTTTCTCTGTATAAATTTGGAAAATAATTTAAAATGAAAACCTTATCACAATTTCTTTATTTCTATTTTGTCGAAATATCTTTCTTTTGTGTATAGATAGTCCATTTATTGTTTTACACGGGTATATATTGTTTTTATATCAATTGATTTAATAAAAACACAAAAATGAGCATCAAGAAATCAATTACAAATGTCAAATTCTTCACATCTAAATACAGATTGCAAATATCTTAAATGACGAAATTTATCATTATTATTTTAAAAAATTTATAACACATTAATATTAACATTTCCGACTTTTTTAATCCGATCTATAAATTTGTAGCAACAATTAGAACTTTCGTATTTTCTCGGTTAACAAAGAATTTTCGGCTGCAATCCATTGTCGGAAGATAAGCAATATCGAGATTCCGAAAGATAAAATATGATTGATATAAAAACTCTACGTTAGATTGTTATAGTTGAATCTTTAATGTTTGAATCAGTCCATTCCTTGATGGCATTTAAACTTTCATACATTTAACAAAGAAATGTTAACATCAATCGACAAGACTTTATTAATGATAAATCATCTCCATTTTTATCAAAAATTGAAAATGAAAAAAAGAATGGTTAGCGGTTTGCGACGTTCTTAAATTAAATTTTCAAACAAAAACTAGAAGCTAATTTTGTTACTGATTACAAAGATGCTTAAGTGAATGTTCGATTGTTGTGTTGTCCTTGTGTTATAAGATATTGTAAATATTTTATCTTTTCTTAATTTTGAATGAATAATTCTGAATAAATGCATTTTAAAAATTAATAGTTTTTATTACTTTATATAAGATAATTTTTCGGTGTTTATTTAAATGAGATGTTTGCAAATGATGTATTGGGGATCAAAAAATGATTGAGTAAGACTACAATGGACGAGATGTCGAAAGCAACTAACCAATTGTATTGGAAACCTGGTTTGAATCCAGATCGGCTCAGAAATATTTATCAGTGGATAAATGTAGAATTGTTGGGCTATAACTGTTGCTGTTGTGGGTCTGACCAAACGGCATTTTTTTATAAAATGAGTACGAAAAATGCTGTAAGGGAGGAGAGTTAAAAACAAAAAGAAAGAAGAGAGACTATTCTACAATTTTCATTTCAAAGCAATAAGCAAAATATGCCAAGAAATGGCTAATTTTGCTTTGATTTCAATAACATTATTTGCATAAATTATATATTGCTATTTGAAATCTGTATTCTACTTTAATTCTTATTACTATGAAGAATGCAGATTCAAATTCATCTTGCAATTTTATGTGGATAAGAAGGAATGTCGTTTCCTTTACCTCTTTGCCGAACTAACCCGTTTTGGGCCAAGATTGCCCATAACGGGTAACCTTATTTTTTTATGGACGATATCGGACGTACACTTAATCTGGTAAAAGTGTACAATCGAGGAAAATGCAAAACGAGTCGATTGGACAATGTTATAGGAAACATTTCTTTAAAATTACAATTGAAGAAATGATGTCGAAAAGAAATTGTTTGGGATAAATACATTTTCATAACCTTTTGTCAATAGATGAAAATAATCTATAAATAATAGCAAATTCATTTCAACAAAAATAATAGATTTTAATTATGAAACTACAATTTCCAAAGCTATATAGGATCTATAATGTTTAAAAATACAATTATCTTTCTAAATATTTTCAATTTTTGTTTCTAATCAAGTCAAGTTTTTGCAAAACTAATTTTTAGTCTTTGTACTCATTATCGTCTTTTTCCAAACAGGCAAAATAATTGGATATCTATTTTCTAATTCCATTGCAAACTACAGAAAATAACGTAACATTTTACTTAAATATGAATAAATTAGATTTCAAAAATTTGATATTTCCACTTCCCAACTGAAGGACTAGATGGGTTTTGTGACAAGCAAAGTATTCAATCCTTTCATTTGTTATGCTATAGCAGATGCTTATTATTAATAGCTGGTTCATAGTTCATACTATACGTATTTGTCCGGTAAGTGTTACAGTGGCAATAAGTATAATATGATAGCAAATTCACATACCTGATAATATACAGGGTTGTGTAGAAGCTAAAAAATAAATTCATTACCTTCACGTTCTATGCAATCTAGCTTCTAGCATCATATCTATCTTTGTTACACTTTGTCAAACAACAGTAATCATTTGTAACACTGATCTATATTCTGAGCACATTATACATGTTTGGTTAATTAATTAAGGATGTCAGACCTAACTGTAGATAATAATAAATGCGTGTTTTTACTTTCCCGGCTGTTGTGTATACATAAGGGAATCGTATCAAATTTGACCCCATGAGTTTTTTGCAAATTTTCACATTTTCAGACCATGAATTCAAAAAAATAAAAATAAAAATACTGTGCACGCACACATTGGTGTCTATTTTACTTAATATCTCAGGATGGGGTAAAGATTAAGAAACAAAATTTGCCATGGTGACTTGTATATGAGGGGCATTGATGCTATTAAATTTTGGTGGTGAAAGGTTGAGAGGTGTCGTGTATTTCAATTAGGGATTGTAAATTTACCGACTTTTTCATTTACCGGTAATTCGGTAAATGAAAATTAAAATACCGGTTTACCGGTAAACTTTTTCCTGAAAAATAAAATTAAGGTGATAAAAAATATAAGTAATTTTGATTTCCATTTCACGGAGTGTTGGACAGCAGACTTGAGGAGAAAGAGCAGGGATTATCTCTGTCCGTTTATCAACTGGCACTATAACTACGCGTCGAACAGATACATGGAGACTCTTCTTGCGCGCTTGCGTACGGGGACGGCCCCTTTGAATGATTTTTTACACTCCAGACGGCTGCACGATANCATCCGATATTGACAGTTTTATTAATAGTGATCACCGGATTTTGTACAGATTATGCAGCTCATATATCGTATGCGTATGCAAAGAGTAAAGGAAAGAATCCGAATGAGAAACTGCGAGATTGTTTGGATGTTGCTGGTCACGCGATTGTGCAAGGTTGTCTTTCATCACTTTTGGGAGTTTCTACGTTAATAGTCGCTCCGTACGGATTTTTCAAAGATATGTTAAGAGCATTTTTCATATTCGTTACTTTTTCCATAATTCAAGGGTTGTGTATACTTCCAATTATGCTGTCATTGTGGGACAGTTTCTTGTTATTATTATGTAAAAGTGACGAGTGGCAGCATTCAGACGAAGGGTCTTCGGATCTTAGGAATACAAATATAAAATTGTTAAAATAAAAAAAATTAACAATTTTTGTGGGAATAAAAAATCTGCAAGACGAATGAAATAATTTATTATAAATTACCTTAATCAATTCTATATTTTTTACTATAATGAGCGTTTGAACAGAAGCAAACTGCTTACGAAAAAAAAAATGAATTCGTATATTCCGATGAGATTAACTGCATTACTTAAAACGTTAGAAATCTCAGAAACGTTAAATATTCTTTGCATTAGAAAGCGGTAATTTCTGAGCATTGATTTCTAAGAATACTGCATTGTTGCTTTTTTTTTCAATGTCCCTTTAGCCCTTTTAAATATCTATAAACACAATATTTTCTACATAAAAATTTCTAGTATGAATTTTTCATTTACCGAATTACCGGTAAACCAATCCCTAATTTCAATAGAAGTAGGACTTATTATCTGTTATTACAGTAGAGTATCGATCAACCAAAACATTGGTTAATTGAAAGTGTTCCAGCTGGCAAATTCAAATTTCCGTTAGGGCTGTGGTGTTGCAGCACTCTTCCCCTCCCTGCCAAACTGAACTGTAGGCCTAGTTTAATGTATTACATTATGTAAGGTATGTATTTATAAGACGTGTGATACAAATTATATACAGTACAGTTTTGTTTAATATATTTTGTAAAAGATCGGTTATCCAAACAACCCCAATCCCGAATTGTTTTGGATAATCGATGCTCTACTGTACTATCTTTTACTTTCTTTTATAAAACTCACCCCTACTGTCAAAATTAAGTTTTTTGCCATTTTGTAATAATTCAAAATATAAAAAGTTTTTATAACAATATCTGATAATAGATAGTGCCATGCACAATTTTATTTTTTTCTTAATAAAAAAGTAACTCTCGTTGCTAGATTTTTTTTAAATTTGTAATAGTTTTCTATGATCTTCAATAGGGAATTTTTATGTATAATTGGTTCACAAAAACAAAAGCTGGTCAATGTAATGATTATGTCACCACAAAACATATGTTCTTAAGAAGAATATATAATCAACTAAGTCAAAACAAATGGCACGTGTCATATTTGGTGGCAGATGGCTGCAATGGATGATCTACAAGATGCCTTCTGGGAAGACTTTTATGGAAACTGGTCCCTATTAAGTGTTACTAATGTGAAGAAAACCTGGGAAACTTCACGTGGCTGGGTGCAAACCCACCACTGGAACTACCGGCATTCGATTGTTTTATCCACTCGGCCGTTGATGAACACTTTTCTGTGCATAATTGTTTTACATTTATGTGAGAATATAAATTGTCAATGTGCTAACTGGGAATGCACATAAGTTAAATGCATAACTGTTCCTATGTAATAGTTTTAAATTGTTTGTGAGATTAAAAATGCTGTATTGTCTAACGAAATACATAAAAAAAGGAAAAACAATCCTTAAATAAAATTATCAAAATCAACAAATAGATAAATGCTTTGCAATTTACATTTTTACAAATAAAAGGAAGAGTCCCAAAAGACAATTGATATCACTTCACCTGAAAGAATAATAAATATACATAAAAACAAAAACAAGAAATTACATATTAAAAATTACACAAAGTTTTTACACTTTAATTTAAAACTAGAAAAATTAAGAAATAATGAACATAAGAACTAATTTACATTTTTGGACTCGGGATCTTGAAATGTGAAAAAATGCAAAAAATTTTGTGAACTTCTTTGCTTTCCTTCAGTCTTTTGTGTCCATCAGCAGTCCAGAACAAATTTATATGCAGAGACGACCTTTCCTTAGAGGCTACGGCCCCGCAACAATATGCAAACTGGAACAGTGTCCCTTGGAGATTGACGTATTTTATTGTGAATTTGGCTAATCTCCAAGGGACACTGTTCTAGTTTGCGTATTGTTGCGGGACCGTAGCCTCTAAGGAAAGGTCGTCTCTGCACATAAATTTGTTCTGGACTGCTGATGGATACAAAAAAGACTGAAGTGAAGAAGTTCACAAAATTTTTTGCATTTTTAAAAAAATTAAACACAGTCTGCCAAGTTTTTTAATATTTACCTCACATGGTCACTGTATTTTTATGCTGACTAATATGTACATTTATGATAGTTTTATTGATCATTGTATAGCATCATTTGAAAGTGCTGTGTGGTAATTTTTTGTAATTGTCGAATTTGTTTTATTCAGTTTTAAAATTTACTTACACCGTATCTCTTCATTAGGTGAACCACTCAAAGTTTACACTTTCCCCCATTTAAGGTTTGGTTACTCTGTCGTGTATCAGGTGAGGTTAAAATAGAATGGAAACATCACAGTTAAAACAATGAAAACACACGTGCGCAACACAACATCCGGGACTCCGATATATCATGTGCAAGTTGTCTTTATAAATAAAAAAAATCATTAATAATATTAGATTAAAAAAATTTATTTTTAATCAGCCTAACTAACATTCTGAAGAAAAATTTTAAACGAACGAGCAATTACTTATTTTGACATGGTCACAATGTCAAAATAAACTTTTTAATGATATTTTTAATTTAAAATATACTCTCCACTTGGAATTAGTACTGTCTTGCTCTGTACATCATACTTTCCTGTTATCAATTACCAACCAAAAAAAAAAAAATCTTCATTACCATAGTTTCTGTTGAGTGCCTTGCTGCTTAAAATAGACGACATAAATTTTTTCTTAACTTAACCTTTCACCACCAAAACTTAATACCAATTCCCCTCATATACAAGCCACCATGCCAAATTTCATTCCCTAATCTTTACCCCATCCTGAGATATTAAGTAAAATAGATGACAAATCACATGCGCACACAAGTTTTTGCTGTTTATTTTACTTCTATACTTCGCCTTGTATACATAACAGCTGGGAAAGTAAAACAAAAATCAATTCAGAATAGCAACATGCACTCATAACCACTATAATCCAAAGCCTAGAATAATCAATCGGCTAATTTCAGTGGGTTAATGTCACCCAGCTGACCAATCAATGCAATTTGCCATCTGGATATTTAGACACAGGTAGATAGCCTATCTAGCATCGTGTTCTGGTAGCAAAAATCTGCCATTTTCTGACAAAACTTTTAACAATAGAAAATCTGTTTAAGACTGTGCCTGTATGATATAGAATGCCTTGGTCTAATACCTAAATAGGAGTTTTCCATAAAAATTTCTGCAGATCACTCAATGTGTTACATTGACGTATCTCATCAAACCAAACCTTAGGACGTGTCCACTTTTTGCCGAATGCCAAGCAAAATAGTTTGATGCATTCGGCAGAGTAGCATTGATGGTTTACGAGTGACGAACGTTTAGTATTAGCCAATTCTCGTCAGTAAAATGTTCGAACCAAAGGAGACAAATATTTGCCTCCATACGTTCGTGTCGTCCATTCACAAGTGTGTTCGCATTTGTGTATTTTTTTTTTTTTTTTTTGCTTATTGGTATTACTATTTTACTCATATTTAAACTACATCTAGTCTTTTATTTCTGAATTTACTTTTTTTTTTTTTGCAATATGGTTTTAGTGTGTTGTTTTCTACTTCTTTTAGGCTTTTATTTTTCATTAACGGATAGGAACTGCTAAATTAAATCAATGTCTGCCACTTACTATTTTGGTAAAGTGTACAACGAAAATAAAACATAATTAATTGATCAAGATTTTTCAAGTTTTTCTTAAAGATGAGGTTGAATAATTATCATAAACTTATATTTTGATAAATAATGTAGTCTTTAGGTTTGATAAAAAAAAGAAAAGATTGAATTTAATCTTATTGTATGCACCAGGGCTGTGGAGTCGGAGTCGTGGAGTTTTGATGTTTTAGCCGGAGTCGGAGTTGGTAGATTTTTACGCGACTGCACAGCCCTGGTATGCATATATATAAATTAACTTATTGGATTTTCATTAATTATTTAATTTTAAAATAGTAAAATTAAACAGTAAGTTAACTGTAACGTTCAGTAATCAAATTACTATCAAAGTGAAACTCTTAAAATGTAACAACTGCAATAATAATTTAAGCATGTTACTGTTAATATAGTCTAAAATTTCATGTGAACACATAGATTTTATTAATATCAACAAAAATTATCTTATAGGACACGACAAATTTATTTTCCTACAAACTCCTTTTTAGTGGTTACAAAAGTAAGACTGCTAATGACTACACATTTATTCGTGTAATTGCATTGAAATCTGTCTGAGACTTTTTTCGTTATACAACTAAGTTACTGTGTTGCTAGTGAAATTATTTAAAATTAATTTTTTAAAATTATTTAGTCTTTAAAATTATTTTTTTTAAATATAAACATAGAAAGATTTTTTTTCAGATTTCTCCTACGCTTAAATTTAAACCTGCCTTTAGTTAATATACAAAGCTATATTTATCACAGATTTATCAGGAAAATTAATTTTCAATGATACATATTTATTCAGTTTAGTATATCATCTAACATAAAATTATTTAAATTTGCATGTTCGGACCATGCTGCATGTCTTGATCCGTCCATGGCACTCGCTACTCTGTTGTCTTGACGGAGACGATGCCGATGTCCACCGATGGCCAAACCGCACTCGTTACATTTCCCTTCTTCCATTGCACCTCCGCATTCCGTAATGCAATAAATATGTCCGTTAGGACACTGAAACCAATGTCCCTGTCGAAGATCCATAGCTTTCAGAATTTGACGTTTTTCTGCGTCGCTTATTCCAAGAACGGCACCGTCGCAACATTTTACTAATTTGTTCAGTTTCTTGTCGGCTTTTTTGTAAACGTGATCATCAAATGTTTTAAATACGGTTAATATTTCTACAGCTTTCCGGTAATAACGTATAAAATCTGGATTATTTGCGTATCTTGTCGTGATATGAAACAGTTTAGTAAAAAGTTTAAGTCGATTAATTTCTCTATTTATATCGCAAAGTAAATGATAAGAAGCACGCGACGAGTTTTCTTCCATCACTTTTAATATCACGATAATACATTTCAAAACAAATTCCCAAATAAGAGAGTGCCGAGTCTCAACGTTTTGAATACGATTATATATCGATAACAAATTGTTACAAAAATCAAATATATCATTTAAGAAATTTAAAAAATTTTCTAAAGTATCTAGCAAATGTCTATACATTTGCTTTTCTTCAAGAAGTATATTATTGATATTAGACGTAACTCTATAAATTACTTCGGTATCAACGTTAACAGTTGATCGAGAGTGAAGTTTAGTTAGCATATCAAAAATAACATGTTCGTCTTCAGTTCTAAATTTGTCTATTTTTTCAATCAAACTTTGTTTTTTTCTTTCATTATCATTATCAATGCCTCTAATCTTTTCTTTAACTAATTCAATTCCTTTAAGACATGCTTTTATATGATTTCCAAATCTAAGACTTTTTCGAATAACTTTTTTACACCATGGACAAGATTTCATTTGAATTTCGTCGGTAATTTTAGAACTCATTTCCAACATTTGAGTAAAGCCAGTAATTTCAAATACGTGTCCACAATCTTCTAACTGAATGAACCTAGCATCTTCCTCATCTTCTGTTCCAAAAAATATCTCAGTAACTTTATCATGATTACAAATTCTGCACAATTTAGGACATGGTTCTCCACACAATCCTATACATTCGTGACCACATTTCAAAATTTTATGACATGCTTTATTACACGGTGGTCGATCACACAACTCCCCACAGAGCTGTTTGCATCTGTAGTGTTCACATTTCCAACTGCATTCCTCTTTGCAGGTTTTACACTGCTGACCACATATTTTAGGACATTTACTATGTTTACAGCTATTTTCACATTTCATCGTGCATGGAGGGCAATTTTCTGCACAGGGAAATTGGCATTCGTGTCCACAAACAAGAATTCTTTTGCATTTTTCCACACATATGACATGTAAACGACCTTGCTGACATTCGTTACATTTTCCTCTACAGATATGTCCACATTCTAATTCTGTATTACAGACTTCTTGGCACAGTTTCAATTTTTTCCATTCGTTCATTGAATCCTTGCATTCTACTTTCACATTATGACCACATAAAGCTCGACGATCTAATAATTTTTGACATACGGGTAATGGCGAACCACATTTAACTTTACAAACATGACCACATTGTAATTTTTTAGAAAGAATAAAATTGCAAATGGCATCTTCTGGTTCTTGATGACAATAAATTTCCATTATATGATTACAACTTGGAAGTCTTTTTGGAACCAATTCTAAACAAGGTCCACAAGTTTCAAAGCATTTCTTCTTACAACGATGATTATATTTGCATATTTTTCTTTGGCATAATTTTTTACATTTAAAATCCTTATGCTCCTGATCATAAGGATGACAGAAAATCGTGCAGGAATGCCCACAATCTAAACGGAAATTGCATAGTTGATGACAACCGCCTTCTGGTGCTTTATGAACAAAATCAGAAGCCGAATTCACATCAGTTATATTCGACGGATGATTCTGACATTTCAGTTTTAACGAGAATTCAATGTGATGGCTTTCTTTTAAATCTTCAATTATATTTTTCCACAATTCACTATTTTCGGCAAAGAATTCAAAATTTCCGATGCAATATAATCCTTTTTTAGCTCTTGACAGTGCCACACATACACGATTATTTACTTTAAGAAACCCAATATTTTGTTCCATATTACTCCTTACAAATGAAATCAAAATAATATCATTTTCTTCTCCTTGATAGTTATCTACCACAGTTATACGAACATCTTTACAAGCATGACTTCGTCTTGTTTTTAACAAATGCATTTGTCCCGTATACATTGTTAAAATTGTAATTTGTGACGGTTTGTAACCTTGAAGAATCAAATATTTGCACAAACCATCAATAAATTTTGCTTCATGATAATTGCTTCTACTCTTTGAATCGTCATTAACACTTTCGTGATAATTATGACAAACAAAAAACATATTTTTATCCATTCCTTTTATATTTTCATATTTTTTTACTGACACGTGATCTGTCAGATGCTTGTAAAAATATGGAACAAGTAACGTCGAAATACACGGTCTCATTCTATGTTGAATCATTAATTTTTCATACTGCATTCCGTTATTTATCATTCTTTCAAAAAACGACAAGTCTAAATGATACTTTTTTGCCAATTCATAAACAGTTGGAGAAGGTTTCAATTGCTGATGATCACCTATAAGAATTAAATGTTGTGTATCCGGAGTTAACGATGTCACAATGTGAGCTTCCAAAACTTCGGCTGCTTCTTCTACTATAACTATTTTTGGTTTCAATTTCTGAACAATACTGCGATATTTTGAAGCTCCAGTTGTAGTCATACCAACAATTTTAGCATGTTTCATTAATTCTACATCCTGTAATACTTTAAGATTGGAAAATACTTCCATATTCTCTTTATACTTCTCCTGACAGCTTTTAATTTGTTCTACATAATGATCGATGTAACGTGCCACCCATAATCGATACATTCGCCAACGGTCTGCAATATTTAAATTCCAGATATTTTCGCACTCATTTTCTTGTCTTTCTGTCATAATATTTGTTTCTTGTAATTTTTTCATAATTTTTTTATGTTGATTATCAGTATTTCGTTTCACTAACCAATTAGTTTCGTTTTTTAGTTCTGACTGTAAGTTTTTAGAACTATCCTTTGATGTTCCTGCAGTTTCAGCATCAACTTCAAAATCATCAATCACTCTCTCATTTGTGATATAATCAATATCACCGATTTCTTCTTCATCAAAATCTTCCATATCTGCCGATGAATTTACGTCAGATAATTCTTTTTGATCATATTCTTTTTCTACATCGTCGGTAATATCATTGAGTCGTAACCACTCTGATATTATTGTACTGCCATCAAAATATTGGGACATATTTTCACAAGTCTTTAAAAAATGCTCTTTACTCATAAATTGACTCAATTCATTTAGTGATAGTATACAGCTCCCTGCATTTTCTATTTTCTTTTCAAGATTTATTATTTCTCTCTGAATAGCTTTTAATCCTAACTTTGTTTCAAGATATCCTTTTGATAAATAATGCGGAATGCTGGATTTCGTTTGATCTTGCTGTCGTAAAAACGCCAATTGATAGGCATTCATAGACGGATTAGATGACCGTCCTCCCACACGTACTATACTATTTGTGAAAGATAAAATGCCTTCTAAAAACTGATCTAATGCGTGATTTGTATAACAAACAATAAGTATAGGCGATAATTCTTCCGACGAATTCCAAACACTACAATTATTTAAAAGCAACTGGACGATCTTTAATCCAATAAATGTTTTCCCTGTACCGGGTGGTCCTTGTATGATGGCTATTTCTTTAGTCATTGCCATTTTTAAAGATTTTATCTGAGAATCGTCTAAACCCATATCATCCTTCGACGGCCAGGTTGCGGTATCTAGCATCTTTATACTTGCAGCGTATTCAAAATTAGCAGAATCGGATGACGTCATCAAAGACTGAAAATTATAACAGTCGTTTTTCTTTAAATATTTGGGCGCTTTTACTTCTTTTTCACAATTTACTATGTACTGTTTGAAAGGAAGTGTATCTTCTGTCATTTTTTGAAGAGCTAACATTACGTGATAATAAGCCTCAAAATATGCATCCGATTCAACCATGATAAAAACTGTGAATGGTTCGAAATCAAATATCTTGTTAGAATTTTCAAAATGAATTTCTAGTTGTCCCTTTGCTAGATTTTCTGCATTTCTATTAGATACAGTAGCAAAAATCATAGATTGAAAGTTATCATGTGATAAACACAATAATGATCCAAATAAAAGTCTTTTGCTATTATTCCAATTTATAGATTTAAACTTTTTAACATCGAATGAAATTATATAATTTAATCCAGATGCAGTCATAACCGATCTTTTAATTGAAACATTGGTATATACTTTCAAGTTTTTATGAAGATTACTTTTATCCGATTTTCCGACATGTATCAGATACTCACCAATTCCACTTCTTAATGGTCTAAGAGTATCTTCGCGTAACAGTCTAAATTGAATATCCAAATAATGGTCAACACTGGAATAACTACCTTCCTGAATGATTGGTCTAATGAATGGTGGATCTTCCATTAAGCTTTCTCTGCTAACAGGGAGTATAGGAATCTCCCTGAAATCATTTGGCGGATCCACTACTTCATTATGTTTTAATTTACAGTTTTCTTTTTTTTGATTCATGTGTAATTCGCAAAAGCTGTCATTTGCTTGTTCCAATTCCTTAATTTTTTCTTCTAAATTAGATGAAATAGTTTCGCCACGTTTGGCAACCTTCTCGACCGTAGTTTTTAGTAACGGCAAGATGATAGATAACGTATCCGACGCAGGAATTACTCTTTGGAGTTCCGAGAGAAAGATTATTAAATAGTTTAATGAATTAATATGAAAATCCTCGCACTTATTATTTTGTAAATTACAAAGAAACTTTTGTAAATGAATAAATTTAAAATTATTTGTAGATTCAATAGATTTTAAAAATAAACTCAAAATCTCTCTTTCGTTAGATTTGCACGCCTTACCCACAGCTGTTAAAATCAATGCTACTCTATCTTTATTAAGGAAAGGTTGTGATAAAAGCTCCAGAAAACTTTTCTTTGACTGAAGTGTTAAAAGAATTTCATGCGAATCTTTTTGAATCAGACTTTCCAATTCTTTATATCCCATCGGTCTTTGAATGAATTTCTTCTTGTTTTTCTCACTCATTATTCTTATTTAATTTTAAAAGTCAATGTAATAAATTATCTAGAAATAAATGCAAGACATATTTATTAAAATAATAAATATATAAATAATATAAATTATGAAAATTTTAATATATTTAATTTTCTACAATTCAATTTATACAATTATTACTTAAGATAACATTTGGAATCTTTCAATTCACTCTTTTTTTGTATTTGTCTTTAATTACATGTATTTTTAAAGAAATATTTTAAAATTTTGTTGTTTTACGAAAACTACAATGATTGGAATATATTAAATAACAATGCAAATACCAATACATGCACCTGTTATCAAACAAAAACTCATTCCATAAATTAACGAGCATATCAATAATATTGTGTTTAAAACATAATTTATGAAAAAAAAAAACAAATTCACGTCTAGATCAGATTTTATTTAAGATTTAGATTAAATTTCAATACCAGTAAATGATGCAACATTATGTTATAGAAAGAGAAATATTTAAATAAAAAAAAATCAATGGGGCATGCATGATTTACATCTCTAAAATCTTCTTACGTGAATACTGGAAACATATAAATTAAAACTCCAAAACCTTTAAACGGCATAAGAGCTGACCTACATGAGGCCAAACTGATCAAACTTTCTCACCGGGTGGAACACCTGCGAAATCTGGAGGCACTGGAAATTTACAAAGCCGGGTTACACACCAATTGCATTAACACTAATGATGCAGTCAATGTGTCCCATGCTTGGAAATACTGCTATGAGGTAACGGGCGACGCCCACTCCAGCAATTAAAGACCACATCCCCGTTTGGTGTATTTATTTATATATATTTATATAATTGTATGTATTACATATGCCATTCCGTCGCCATGGCAATGCACATGCATAACTGTATTCTATTAAAATCCGTTTGTGGTGTTCCATTTTTCAAAATTAATTTTCAAAATTAATTTCATAATCATTGTTCTACACTTGCACAGGTTCGAATCTAACTGATTTTAAACCTGATGAAGACCGAGAGTACAGTTGAAAACGTTTGTTTATTATTAAATTGATTACTACTGGACGTTTAAAGGTTTTGGAGTTTTAATGATTTACATCTAGGGAATTCGATCCCGGTCCTTATTTCTAATACCGGGATTTCGGGATTATACTTATTCAATCCCGGGATCATTTCGGTATTGAGGGTTAATAAAAAATAAGAAAATCTTACAGAAATCAAAAATCAAAATTTAGACAAAAATCAACGTATTTTACGGTATACACCTAGTTAATTTAATCACTCTAATTAATCAGACTTACAGTCAGACTAACCAGACTTAAAATCACTGTTTCATGTTAAATTTATTCTTTTTTAAACATCACTGACATCTCTTTAAACTCACATAAATTGAAAAAACCTTTATGTAACAAACTATGCAAATAAACGTTGAAAATTAACAAAAATCTCTCTTAACATCGACTAAATAGACTACTTTCATATAACAACCTAGTAAGTAGGTAGTAAAGTAAGTTTCTTAGCAAAAAGTATTTAAAAATAATATTAATCAGTCACATTTTTCTTAAATATAAAGAAAACTAATCTAATAGGAACATTCTAATTTGAATTGCGAAAATATGATCTGAGAAATAACAACGCATCCAGTGTCTCATCACCAAGTCTGCTTCTCAATTTGTTGCACATATATGCAGCTGCTGAGAAAACGCGTTTAGGTTTGATGGAAGTTGGAGGAATCGTTAGTAAATACTTATAAGCTTCGAGGACACGGGGAGGATGGAAGAAAACAGTCCGGTCGACACGGATCGGGATTGTAGGAGTAAAGGCTACAATCCCGATTGTTTCGATCATTGTAAGCATGTCTTTCTAAAAATAAACGCGTTAATTTTGTAAATTCGGTCTCTGTGTGAGTCTCTCAGCGTCCAGCAAACCACTACCCCGAAACGTAAAAAGACTTTCTCGCATCATCCTGACAGATCGCGGGCAAGGCGAGGGTCGTAACCTTTTCACCTAAGGTCGACCCCCCTAAGCGAGAGGCGTCGGGTCTATATTAACCACACTGGCAAAACAAGATGGCTGACACATTGACAGGTAAAACGCACTGAGTAGTGCTCTCGACTGCACCAGAAAATCGATTGGCGCCCGCGAAAATTCAGTATATTACCAAGTAACCCAGTGAGAACTGCTTGCCTATCATTTTACTTGAAAATACAAGAAGTTTTATTCCAAGCAAGCATCGCAAGCCCCGCTAGGTTAATTTCTGCTGCTTGCTTGGAATAAAATTTCTTGTATTTTATATTAAAATGATAGGCAAGCAATTCTGTTAAAAGCACTGGCACTGAACGTTTCGCTTCGTGCAGTCTATTTTGCAACTTTTTTTTAAAATGATGTCAATCCCGAAAATCTCGGGATTAGGAAAATTTAATCCCGAAAATTTTGGGACTGAAAAGTTGTCGGGATCCCGATTTTCGAGATCCCGGGATCAAATCCTCTATTTACATCTCATCACTGGTGATACTAGTGACAGCTTGATGTATACTTAACTTCCAGTAGTGCATAAAATAGTGGGAACTAAGTGGAAGTTTTGATCTGTTTATAAAAATCTTGATTTAAAGAATGTAACAGTTGCTGAATTAAGAAAGAAATTAAAAGAATTAGGGACTAAGACATTGTTATCAGTGGGAGTCTAATGGGTTTGCAGACCCCCCTCTTTTCACCATGTAGGGTTATAACAATATGTCACAAAGTTGGGCTCCAATTGATGTTTATACTGTTTAAACAACATTAAAGAAAACGATATTTTTAAGCTTGAATTTTGTTTTTATTGTATAAACGTTGATTAGTAATGCAATGAATGGTGATCTAGGCATAGGCTAGGCTTTTTTGTGCTATGCCCCACCTAAGCCTTTCTAAAATTCTTATGCCCCTCTAACATATACAGTGGCTATATGGTTAACTTAAACTCTGGACAAGTCCATTTTCAAATTGCCCACCTTAACAATCCAATTGCCCCCTGTGGGGCGGAGCCCCACGTTGGGAAACACTGGGTTAGAGGGTTCCCAATACATACGTATCATATAATAATAAATTTTTTACAGTATTATGTAATTTGTAAGATAATTTTCGTTAAATAGCTTGAAAATATCACATTTATTCATTAAGTTTTTAATAAAGTTTTAAAAATTGCAACTGCATCTCTCAGAGGACTCATTGATGTTTAAAATTTCATTTTGTAATATATATGTTACTGTGAAAGTATTGTTGTGAAATCAATGGTCAGTTCACAGTTAAACTCAAGATGTCAAGTCAATTTGATAGACCTGTAGTCATACATGGATGGCAATTATAATTTCATAATGGTGTATCAAGATCATTTAACAAAATTTGTCCAGCTACAACATTTGAAAACTAAGACAACTGAAGAAGTAGCATATCACCTTGTTCAAATATTTTTAACATTTGGTGCCCCAGCTATATTGCATTCAGATAATGGGAATTCTGTAATCGAGTCATATCCAAACTATGCACTATGTGGAAAGATGTTAAGATAGTTCATGGAAAACCTCGTCATAGTCAAACACAAGCCTCAGTTGAAAGGGCCAATCAGGATATACAGAATATGTTAACTGCATGGATGAACGATAATGATACAAATAAATGGTCAAATGGTTTGCCTTTTGTACAATTTGCCAAGAACACTACATATCACGAAGGAATATGCCAAAGTCTTTATGAAGCCATGTTTGGCATTAAACCAAAAATAAGCATAGCATCATCATCTTTGCCTGGCAAACAAATCGCAAATATTGAAACTGAAGAACAGCTCAAAGAAACTGTTAATACTTTTGAAGAAAATTTGAGCAGTGGCCATAATGAATACCATAGTCCAAAGGAAAATATTAAAGAGCTGCAATCCACCACGTCTTCATATCAAGCCCTGACTGAACAACACAAAATTATTTCTATAAAAAGAGCAGCCACGAAAGAGAATCTTCTACTGCAAGCAACGAAAATGTTACAAACCTCAAAAAAAAAATTTCCTTCTGCTCAAATTGGTGATACAGTACGAATATAAGTCCCCAATGTCGACCATGGCCGTACAGATGCCCGAAATGTGTTGGCGGTTGTTGTTGGAATAGAAGACTTCAACTTTATAAATTAGCAAACAAAAATGGTATCCTCAAGCAGCTTTATTCCCGTAATCAATTCGTAATTTGTAAAGAAAAGTTACTTTACTTTCCATAGAAGATATTTCTTCACAAGAAATATCGCCAAGAGAAGCAGCTGCAGCTAATTCGAAAAGTGGAGGGCAAGGTCTATACACGCTGTCATTGCAAAAAGAAGTGTTCCACGAATAAATGCAATTGTAAAAGCAAGGGACTCTTGTGCAATTCAAAGTGCCATAATAGTTTAAGTTGTTGCAATAAACAAGATTGTATAACGTTAATCACATAATTTATGTGTAAGTTTATTATTGTATTATTTTCTTTAATGATTTATAATGTGCTGTTTGTTTTAGGTTCAACAGTTTATTTACATGTGCTGTTACTTAAGCTTTCTCCTATTTTGACATATTAAAAAGTTGCATTTTTGTCTTTTAACATAATAAAAATATTTTTATTTAACATTCACCATCAGTGCATGCTGAATGTCGACATTTGCCTGTGTAAGTGAGAAATAATGATATTTAGCAAATATTTCGTACATACACGAAACGACTGTGTCAATGCTGACATTCACCAGAGAATGTTGACATTTGCCAGATATTGGTCATTAACATATAAATATATATATATATATAATGTGTTGTTTCTTATTCCACTGCACTTCCTCTGGTAATTATCTAACAATGCATGTTGCAAGACAACAAGAACAAAAGCAGAACTTTTAGAAAGGTACACAAGCTTAAAAGTATTACACTGACCTTTTTACAGTTTTTGGCTTTTGTTTTTGATATTGCTCTTGTTGTCCTATACCCAAATGTAGGTAACACACAGAATAATTAATAAATAATACTGTATATAATTATAAAAAAGCATTATTAAGAAATGCAATAAAAATTTATTTTAAAAAATGCTTTATACTAGGATTGAGATATTAATAGACTACAAAGCATAGTTAATGACAAGGGAAAAAAATACAAAATACTGTTAGTAGTCAGTATGTTCAACAAGAATATTGACAAGAACTTTTGCACTTTTAGACATAGGTTATATATTTATTGTGTGTGGTCAAATCTAAACATTGAAAAGCACTAACAAAAGTGTACATCATACAGTTTTTATCAAATAAAAGTCATTCTACTTATACTTCATAAAACATATAAATTAAAAAATATCCTATAAACTCTTGCCCATACTAGTAACTTCGTAATCATTTTCATCAAAATGTCTGATACTAATCCAAGTGTATTCACCAATTTTCTTTCGAGTTTTTATCTTTACTTCCCGTTCTTTTTTTTTTTCTTATTGGGTCATCAGAAATTTGCAAATTTCACACCTGGTTATTTTTTATTATTGGCATTACACTGAGGTTTACAACAATTAGATTGGTATTTCAATAATATCTAAATAAGTAAAAAAGCAATTTTGAGCAATGTAAACACAATATGACAGATGAAACAGGAGACAATGTATCGATAAGCCCAATACTGGTACCACGTATTGGCTTTGAAAAGTGCATGCCCTATTAATCCATCACATCTCATGACAATATGAAGTTTTTGAATGCTACAAACTAACGTTGTATTTGTTCACAGTTATATAAAATAATATTTTGTTTGAAAAGATAAAAGGTGTGCTAAGTAATCATTATCATCATATAAATTTGTCTTATATTTTAAGTATATCACAATCTTCCAAAAATAGAATTTTATTGTCACTGGAATGCAGTTAAAAAGATTTTTCAAATATCTGAAATTCATTCAAAATTATGGTTTTGAATGTAAGAATAACTCAAAGATTCAGTTTTAAAAAATGTTTATATATATATATATCTGAAATAAATACATTGCACATTTACTGCACCCAGAAAAGCAATTTTGACTAAGTTAACTTTACAGTGATACTGATGAAAAAGAGCAAAGTCTATTAATCTTAAATATAGATAATTAAATTAATTAAGGCAGGTTGTAGTAGGCAAGCAGAGGTTGTTTTGATAGGCTAAGTATGTTGTAGTTTTTATTCTTGAGGTTTTTAACATCAGCGTGCGAATGGAACAAAATGTAATGTGTATATATACAGTGAAATCATTTTTGACAATTATCTGCTAGGACCACTAACAGTGAAGAAGTGTTTTTGATACAACAGGCATGCCTCAGATAAGACATTTGGGTGATTCATTGCAATGGAGGGCCATTTATTTCTCCATCTAAATCATAAATATATTCATAAAGAATAACATAAATAACCCAATTAAACTTGAAATATAGTGCATTATTTTTATAATTTAACAAATTTTGAATCTATACATAGAAACATACGATTATCTTGTAAAGCACTATTATAAATATTTAAAATTTTAGTTACATCATAATATAGGCATACCTCGACTTACGTCGTTCCCGATTATACGTCGCTTGTTAAAAAAGTATATGGAAAAATAAAAATCAAGTTGAAGTCATTTTATTCGACTTTACGTCTGTCCGCCACAAATATTGAAGTCGTAATATCACTAGAAAAACGTTTAAAGCACATAAAATCATATTAAAATATATACAAGTATGTACTGTATTTACAGTACAGTACATGCATTCATAAATTTAGATTACTTTTTTTGTACTATATTAAAAACTAAAATTTATTTGTTTGTAAGCTTAAAATAGATTTTTATTAACCATATATTATTAAAAATGCATTAATAAATAAAATACAGAACCGGGAATGGTAATTTACAGTTTAGCCTAGTGATAATAGATTTGGAGACAAGTAAATTCGACTTGCGTCGTTCTCCTGGAACCAATTACCGACGTAAGGCGAGGTATACCTGTATAAGAGCTTTAACTTCCAACTGAATAAATAAACTATTTCCTTCTTTAATTGCATATTGAACACACAATAATTCCAAGCATTTTAATGCTGAAACTTTCTTTAAGATACACATAAATCAAATTCAAATTCCTTTTCTCTAAGATAAGATTGTCAGAAAATGTTCTTATGTGTAAAATGATTATCTAAGTCAGCCTGAATAAGGAAAGTGGAACCTGTTAAATGGAGGAAAATGATAAATCATCATTTGGATAAACTTTATTAGATGAAACAGTGTAAATTTCTTGCCTTTAATGAATTGAATAATTATCTCAAACTACCTTATAACATCAAAAAAACCCATAAATAAAATTAGTCTTTTTTTTTATGTGATCATGATTTTCTAATGCTCCAATACGGCTTGATAAACCTTGTATACTGCCACCAATTTGTAGTTTGAGATAATTAATTAATTAATTAGATGGTTTCAGCACAGTAGTTATTACTGTTTAAGTTTTTTTTTTAACTTTGGCTTCACTTCCTGTTTCTTCTTCTCATTATCTTTTCATATCTAGTTATTTCATTTAAATATAATACTTCTTGCGCACGATAACTTTCTCAAATGACGTAAGGGAATACTTTTGCGATTTCTCTTATTTTTCATTTATTTATATTATGCCATGCCATTAGTTACCATAATCCAGTAATTTTCCTTAAATTTTAATTTTAATTTCTGATACAGAGACCGAAAACACTACAGTTTTCTAGAAAAAGATTTATATTTCCATGAAAAAGTAATTTAAATTGCATGTCTACAACAGTAATATCAGTGCGAAATAAAATGGCGATATTTACAAAAGCTACTAATTCAATTTTCACATTTTTAATGTTATTTTGACAAAACATTTTATATCATTTTTAATAATTAATATATTGGTACATTTTCTAAATATAAGTAAGACCTACCTTTAAAGATGGCTTACAATCTGATAAAAATAATCATCCGATAACGCTAATTTAAACTCTTCTTGCTGGCTATCGATATCTTTCGATCCAAATCATAAATCACAATAAGCTGAAAAGATAAAACATTAAAATTTATTTAGATTAAAAACTGATAAATGCAATTGAAATTTTTCAATTTATCATTTTGAAGCATAAATTACTTAAAAATTAATAATTTTAAGAATTATACATAAATAATATTTTTGATTTCTAAAAGTATTTACTTATGAAACAATTTTTCTTTTAAACTGTCTTTTTATTAAAAACATTTAATTTTATGTTGAGAAAAACTCTTACATAAGAACTAAGTCTTATGTATCAGTGCATATGGTTTTAATAATTGTAAATTTACTTCATTGTAGAAAGCCCGAAGAGAGATGCGTAGATCCGAAATGCACAGCATTAAGACCATAAAAGCAACTTTGTATAAACGCACAGCATATATATAAATGCACAGCATTTATATATATGCTGTGCGTTTATACAAACATTTCAACATATATAAATGCTGTGCATTTATATATGTTGAATGCTGTATATATATATAATATAATGTTGAATATAATTTATATTAAATGCTGTGCATTTATACAAAGTTGATTTTATGATCTTAGTCTTAAAAAGTGATTATAAACATAAAAAAAAACATAAAATTTAAAACTACATATTATTAGTCAATATAGTGTTTTTAATATAAGTTTTCTGTATATAATTTTATATAATGGATGTGTTCGGCAGACACGACAGTTCTGGAGCCATCGAGTGTTTTTCTGCCAAATGCCCATTACGTTAGTGCCGTTTCGGAACACTTTCATTTATGCTACCTACTGCTGGGTGCAACTGACCGATGATGGCTGCTTTCCATTCTAATGCACGCGTCACTCGTCGTTCGGCAACGTAACTATGCGACGTAACATCTATCGATTTTGACGACCGAGCGGTCGAGGCGGTTTGGATTCGATCCCGGGTCAAGAGACCCGGGATCGAATCCGAACGGGTCGAGAAATCCCCGGGAAGTTTTCAGAGGCGGTCCGACCGGACACGTCGGCACCAGGCCACGGGTCCGGCCAAACCCATAACGAACTCGCTAGAAGAGGCTCTCTTAGTGGGCGGAGTCAAAACAAAAAAAAACCACCAATTGAAACACTTTTGCTCAGTTACAACTGTCGACTCTGCTGACACACTGAATGTATGTACAGTACAATACATTCAGTGTGTCATAGCCAATGTATCATACATAAACTGTATTTCCACACAAGAGAATGCTTTTATAGATGAGACAAAATAGGCACTATATTCTGCAAAGTACTCAAACAAACTCACTATTTAAAAAAAAATACTTCGGTAGTATCAAAAGCATTTTCTTAATTTCAGAGTTGTAATTCAAAATAATACTAGCACACGTTACACACAATTACGCCACAAAACAAAACCGAAACTAACGATGTCGATGCACAAATACGCAATTCTCATCGTCAATATTTAATTATATTATATCAATGAAAATAATTTCAAACGAAAATTAAATCTTCTACAATTATTTTAACTTCGCTACATTTATACAATTTTTAATAAGTAAATTTTTCAAAATTTTATTGCTCTCGCTGCTCCATCACGTGACGCGGGAAACGTCAGGGATGTCACGTGACACGCATCCAAAGTGCTACTCCGCGACGAAAAGATTAAATTAAACAATGACGTTCCGAACGGAGCACAGTCAGTAAATATCCCAGTAATGTTTTCTTTATAGCTCTTTTAAGAAAGCAAAATTATAAAAATCTCGCGACTTTTACCGAAATTAATCTTAATAGCTTTAATTGAAATATTAATTAATTAATTAATTAGATGGTTTCAGCACAGTAGTTNCTTAATAGCTTTAATTGAAATATTAATTAATGAAGTACTATTGAAAGTTAAAATTTTTAAAATAATTTTATATAATTCGTGCACAAATTAAATATTAAAATAAAAATTATAAATAAATATAATACCGATCTCGTCTTTTAATTAATAAATCCAAAATACGGGTTAAAATCACTCGTCTAATTTCACTTTAAACTCGATTAACTGTTAACACGACGGACTTCACCTAAATAAATAACTCACGTATAAACACGTGGTTGCTAGTTTCGGTTTCGTTTTCGTATCTTATTTCCTTCATTTAATAACATTTATTTTGTATTTTAATCATAATTAATGATTTTAAAATGATTATAATTAGTTTAAAACTATTTTTAACTTTTTATTAATTAATGAAATAATACATAAAATAAAATGCAAATTTTAATTTTTAGCTCGGTTACGCCATCTAGGGACACTGCGGAGAACTAAAATCCAAATAGAAGAATTCACAACAGCATTTGTGATTTAAATAAAATCACAAATGCTGTTGGGAATTCTTTAATTTTAACATTCGAATTGTATATTTTTAATATATAATGGGGAATTTTAAGTTTGAAATTTGGTTCAGTTTTTCTAATTTTGTAAAGGTTTATTAAGTGGAATAAAATGTAAAACAATTATACTTTAATTTTTTATGAAAGATAACTTCTTTCTTTTCAATCATTGTGTAATTTTAATATAAATGTTTGTAAATAACATTGACATTATCAAGCGAGGAATACTTACGATACATTTAATTCAGTTACGACAACGCAACACTCGGGCGATCTGCCCGAGGGAATGCCTGCCCGGAGTTCTTCTTAAGGTTAACTGGCCCCACGGTCATTACAGACGTGTTGAAAACCCAGAAAACTCCACTTGACCGGCCGGGCAAGAACCCACGACCAAACTCCCTGTGTTCGGGGGACTGCTTGGCCACTGGTGGGCCACTTACGATAAGATTTTTGTTTATTTAGAACATTAAGTGAAAATGGAATTCAGACTAATCCCATTTCTTCTGTAGAATCAATGACTCAAACTAAAGAAATGAATAGTGTTATGGTAATTAATAAGATCTATTATATTTTGTAAGTGAAATTCTGAGATTATGTTAATTAAAACAAAACACTTTTATATTTTTTTAGGTTCAAACCGATCCTTGTACTGTACGATCAAACGGTTGAAAAAAGTCGATATTGATTACGATTCATTAAGTGGTTTTCTTCAGAGAGTAGCTCCTGTAGTTTGTAAATATTTAGAAGAGAATTCTCACACAAATGCTTTTGATAATAGATTGTTGAGAGACGAAGAACGGAGTTCGACTCGTATTATTTATACACTCGTGTACAAAATTCCTTCGGAAGTTAAATTTGTGTTTTCGTAAAATCAATTGAAATAAAATATAGAACTATTGGAAGAATTATTTCGTATGAATATTTCTAGTAGCATTTATTAATTACTATTTTGATACTTTCTACACAATATATATGAACATACATGTATATGTATGTGATAGAAATTTTCAATGAAATTGCTTACTTTGTAATCATTTCTGCGTATGAATATTTCTAGTAGCATTTATTAATTACTATTTTGATACTTTCTACACAATATATATGAACATATATGTATATGTATGTGATAGAAATTTTCAATGAAATCGCTTACTTCATAATTTCTTTAGATGAATATTATGTAGATTATTTAAGAGCTTTTAAAATTTATCATATACAGTCAATTCTGCTTATTTGGAACACGTTGGAAGTAATCAATGCATTTTGGCTCAATTAAGTGGCTGTCCCAATTAAATGAGCTAATAATAAATTCTAAAATAAAATATGTAATACATNTTTCCACGAACACCTAATTTATAATTTCATGTATTATGAATATACTTTAATCATTTATATTAATGTTTGTTTAAGGTATTATTATTGAATTTTTAGCTTTTTTTCAGCTTCAGTGTTTAGATGCTTTGTGGAATTCAACTGGAACTGTCTTAGCTTTAATAAAAAAAAATGTATTATTATTGAATTTTTAGCTTTTTTTCAGCTTCAGTGTTTAGATGCTTTGTGGAATTCAACTGGAACTGTCTTAGCTTTAATGTGTAAATGTTATAATGTAAAAAAGAATCTGTTTAATTAGTTACTTTGAGGCTCGCTTAAACTGATAACATTAAGCGAAGTAAGAAACTAAGAATAAGGCATGAGTTTTCAATTTTGGAGCGCTTTGGGAATCGCTGATCTAAAAGCTATATTAATGTACTAACAAATAGATTTTAGTTTTTTGGTCTTCGCATTAAATAAGAAACATGTCTGAGATCGTAGAGAACTTTCCTGTATTAAGAGGAAGTCTTTTTTAATGTAAAAGCAAATTAATTTTACATAGAATTTTCTAATCTTAGTTGTAAACTTATCTGCCAATTGTCACGAATAAGAGAATTGGATAGAAATGTGGATAAAAGTTAAAGGGAAAGAATCGGACATCATGAAATATAAACGCGAGCGAGGTCAACCAAAAACCTTCAAAGCACTACATTCGATTTTATACATATCGATCTACTGGTACGCAGTGATCCACGCCTAAATCAATTTAAAATGACACTATTACTACCAAAAAATTGTCTCATTAATTAGTTTTTAAAGAGAGTAAAGGTGTACACCAAATATTATTGCTGAAAGTAAAAAGTGATTTTTATTTAATTATTATTAAGGTAAAATTAGTTTACCCAATTTCCAAACTTGAATATTTTGATCCATAGTTGATGTAGTTAAAAGTTCTGTACTGTTAAAAGCAAAAACAAATTTTATATTAAATTTAATTTTTTATATTTATAATAGAATACATATGTGCGCATGTATGTGTGTATATATATGCAATTAAATATAATTACTTTTGCACATTGAAATGAAGAGTATTTCCACTTTTTCCTTCGGATATATTATAACTGCCGGAAGGCGCTGATAAATTATCACTTAAATCATAAATAAAGAGTTGACCGTCGTTAGTTAAGGCGGAAATTATCAAAGGCCGAACCGGTGACCATTCGGCTTTCTTGAATCCCGAGATTGTCTTTAAAACCAGTATGGGCTTTGACTGAAAAAGAAAAAACATCCTAGAAAGTTTTAATATAATTATTTTAAAAGTAAACTAACCAAAAAACTACCCTTTAATTTATTAAAATAAAAATTGTATTATAAATTATATTTGAATTAATTAAGCAAGTAACCCCAGGAATTATACATAATGTGTCTGATCTGGATATGTTGGACTCCATCCTTCAATATCTGGCTGCTTCCGCCGTGGGCCTGGACGAACTCATGATTAGCAAAGAAAAAGATCCTCAGTACTCACAGGACAACATAATTGTAAATAGTGTCATTCAACAAATGAAATTATTGTGACCGTTCTTTATAAAATATTTAGAGAATAAGACCGATAAAACATGTTATACAAAATTTAGAATGAATTAGCATTAGTGAAATGCTTTATCACAATTTATTATTTTTTGCCACAAATTCGTGACATGTGAAAACGACTTTTTACATTTTACTACTACTAAAGAATTAACAACAATGAAATGAGAGAAATACAAAGAAAAATATAAATTGAATAAATGTAACTGTTAAACTGAAAGCAATGTACAGTACCTCTAAATGTCATCTCACCATACTTAAGTACGGTTAGTTTTTTTTTTTTTTTAGTTAAAAAAAATGTTTAAACAGATACTTCTATATTCTATCCTTTTCTGATAACTTTTATAGTAAATATTTATATTTATATAAATATATATAATTTACATACTATTAGGTTATATCCAGGGCTGTGGAGTCGCGTAAAAATCTACCGACTCCAACTCCGACTTTTCCTTACGAATCCGACTCCGACTAAAACACCAAAACTCCACGACTCCGACTCCGACTCCGAAGCCCTGCCAGGGCTGTGGAGTCGCGTAAAAATCTACCGACTCCAACTCCGACTTTTCCTTACGAATCCGACTCCGACTAAAACACCAAAACTCCACGACTCCGACTCCGACTCCGAAGCCCTGCCAGGGCTGTGGAGTCGCGTAAAAATCTACCGACTCCAACTCCGACTTTTCCTTACCATCCGACTCCGACTCCACAGCCCTGGTTATATCAAAGATGTAAAATAGATATTTTAGTATAGAGTTTTTCTACTGTGTCAGTTTAGCGTAATGATTACTTTTTATTTCTCTGCAGTATGAATTTATGTTTAAAATTGTTATAAACAATAGAAGGAGAGCACAATGTCTATTAAAACACCAAGATTCATTCTAAACAGTAGCTTAACTAGAACCAATATCAAGAGAGTTCAAATTAGAATGTGCATAACTACATAACTCTATGGAAATCCTGTACCACTGTGGATTTATTCTCTGGTGCTATGGATGAAGAAATAAGCTCATTATATATAAATATATGTGTATGTGTATATGTAAGTATGATTGTCATATTCAAATCCTTCTTTTGTATTTATTTGATAGTTTTCTTATTTATTTGCAATGGTAAGAAAGCCCAGGTTCCCTGGGCCTTCTTACCATTGAAAATAATCAGTAGTATAACCAGAGAGAGAGGCCCAGGTCATCTGTTATACTACTGATTCAAAACTTAAATTATTTTTGTACAATTAATTGTTTATAATATAACATGGTCGCAATAGTTTTCAAAAAACTGAATAAATGATTAGATTTAACAAATATGAATACAATACTATATTCATATAACGTATTATCCATAAGTGAAAAATATTACAGAAAAAATTAATAATTTTACTGGAAAAATGAAACAAAACAAATTAGCAAAAGACAGAAAAGCAAATTCACAATGATAAGGATTATTAATTAAATCATAAATAAAGGTCGGTCATCGTTAGGAAAGAAATTATCACGGAACAATTTAGCAGTCTGTCAATCAACTTTCCGATGCCATTTAACGGACATTGAAATATCCTTGAATATATTTCTTTGCTCAAATAAAATAATCAATAGTAGACCTATTTAAATAACAGCATTATATTTAAAAAGTCAATACTATCCAAAATTTTAAGTCCTTCGTACGAGTACATAAATTTAATAACATTAATTTTCAGAACATCTTTTGAATTTATTTTTTTACACAATTTAACTGCATAAAGTCAAAAGAAGTATACAATTTAACAGTTTAGATATTTGTAAAATAATAACATTTTAAAGAATGACATTACTTTTCCTTTCAGATACATTATCTCAAATCTTAAAACTGATTGTAAAATATAAATGAGCAATTATTTATTGTGACATCGTCATAATGCTGGGCTGCAATTTTTAATCATATTTTTTATAATTTTTTAATTTAAAATATATTTGCTCTCCACCTCAAATTAGTGACGGCTTGCCCCTGTACATCATACTTTTCCATCAGCAAGAGTCGTGCTGGTCCAACTCATTTCAAGAGAAAACTTTTGAATTGAAATAATGTTACTTCCGGTTTGTGTTGGAAGTTCGTATATAGTTAATTGGGGCCTCCTGCCTCTAATATTACGTTTGCACACAATCCACGACTCACTTCAATCTCGATTTACCTACAATCTGAATTGTGACTGTCGCCAGTCGAACGTCATGCTGTTCGCACAGGCAATCCACCCAAGAAGAACCCGGCTATTACACGCGATAACAAGACTGACATAACTAAGCAATAAGTCACAAACACCAACAAACAAAATGGAAGTTTTGGTTAGAAATAAATACTTTTTCTTGCCGTATATCTAATAATAGACAGATGTCATTGTCTCTCCAGATATCTTTTTTTATTTTTCTGTCGATAGCCGGACACGTGTTCAGCAGCCATCTTGTATTTTCTCGCGCACGTGGGATTGTGGGATCTCTCTTATGACTGGATCTAGTTTCAAGAACTCTCTTGAGTTGATCACAATTGAACCTCGTTTCAGTCGAGATTGAAACAGTCGAGAGGTTGCACCACGGAACAGTCTCTGACCTTGGTCACAATCTAGATCAAAATGCTCGGTGCAAACGGGGTATAAGGGTTCCATATCTAGTCTCAGTTTTCATCTATCTAACTGTTGAATCTAAATAATCCATCTAACTCCTTTTAACTTTACTCAGACGGACGACAGTGGGAATTTATAGGTCATTTTTTTCAAATTGCAGCCCAATTAGTATTTAAATTCCATAATCATCTGTAAGAGTTGAGATAAGAGTTCTAACTTATAAGACCTAAAACAGTAAAATTAGAAACCAATACCATTGTTTATCTTTAATTATTATTAAGGTAAAATTAGTTTAATAAATTCTATCTGTAATGTATTATTTTGAATTTTGTAATAAATAATTAATTTCTATGTCATGATTTTTTGCTTGCCGCTACGTAACAACTAGCATTACATCAAATTTGTTTTTAAGAAAAATAAAGATTAAAATATGATTATAATAAAGTATTACTGTTATATTTTAAGAATAAACTATAAAAGTATTTATTAATAAAGATCATTTCACAAATCCACAATATTTCGAAATTATTAATACCTTTTCTTACCTGTAATAAGGAATAAACATGAATTTCACCATCACCGCCACTACTTAAGAAAGCATTACGACAATGTGGAGAACAGTGAACCGATTCGGTACGACCCAGATGGCCGTCAAAACTTATAACTACCGGAGATTTATAAATAAAATCTGAATTTGTATCTATATAATAAAGAAAATATTAAATAAAAAATTTATCAATGATGTATTTTGAATATGAATAAATATAGCAAAGTTAAATTTAAATACGGCATACTAACAATTTGCAACAACCGTGGAGTTGATTGAACATTGAAATATTCCACCCCCTTCAGTTCCAATTATGAATATGGACTTATCTTCATTGTTGAAGGATAATGAAGTAACTAAAAAATTTTTAATATTTTAGTACTTTTGTAATGGAAAAATACTTCTCTTTACAGCAAAATTCTGTATAACTATTGATTATTAAGCTATCACAGATAACAATTTTGGATATAAAACAAATGCATTATTTTACAAAGTTTTGCAAAGAAACTGATTATTCTTTAGTGTATTTCATATAGTCGAAGTTATTTTCTTTAATAAGAATCCATGAATTCTGCTTGCTATAAAACAGCGGTTCTTAACCTTTTAGTGATGAGGGACCATTTATCAAAATTTTTGTCTTGCCTGTTTGTCAGTAATATAGGTTCTTATAAGATTGTTCTATAAATTAAACATGTAGAAAATTATTCGGAACCAAGAGTATTATATTATTTGCGAAAGTGTTACATTAATTATATTATTTTAGTGCAATTTTTGTGACTGCATACTGTTTACCAACTGCTGAATTCTTGGTTCAGTGCTACTCAAAGCAAATGCATGTCGGTACTGGCATTCAACCGATTTCAATGTTTATTTTTAATTATCAAAAGCACTGAGAATCCTTGCTCGCATAAATATGTGGTTGAAAATAAAGTTAGGCACTGTAAAGCAATTTCTTGAATTTTAGGGAAAGCAATAGCTTTTTGGCTTCAAAAATCTTTAAGATTAATTCCTGTCTCGAATTTATCTTTGCAGTTACTATCATGTTGCATTTCAATTAACTCTTCTTGTATTTCATCCGGCACCTCAGAAATGTTGACTATGAAAGGATTGAAAATCAGTTTCCAAATACCTTTGTCCTTGCAGTCAGGAAAATAGCAATTGAATTCATTTTTCAAGCTTTGCAAATGGAATGTAATGTTCTTTTGTATTTGTCCTTTAATCTCAGCACACTGTCAATTAGTAATTGAATTCAATGTATCAAACGCAGAAAAATTCTCTCTTTGGACTTTGCTGATCCATACATCAATTTTAACGATAAACGCACTGATTTTATCTTCAAATGCAAATTTTTTGCCAGTGCCTTCCAATTTCATATTTTCTGACCGCGCACCATACCCCAGCCCAGTCCGCTATCGGCTCTAACCTTGATGTACTGCACATTGTCATCAACTCACCATTTATTTAATAATTTTGGGATAACTTCGCGGACCACTTTGGGTGCTTTCAGGGACCACAGGTTAAGAACCACAGCTATAAAACTATAGACAGCTAGTTGGCCAAGATGGTAAGGATATCAGTCTGCTAGAATAGACCTTGAGTCTAAGTCACAATTCACAGGAATTTTTCAAAGGCAGACTATTCCAGATGTGTTGAACCCCATCCCTCAACATCCAGCTTCCTCCATTATGGATCTGACCAAACTTGTAATGGATATGATTAAAAAGAAAATTAAATGAAATGATATAAAACTATCAGAAATCTATTCTAATACTTCCAATCTACAGAAAAAATTTACTTCCAACTTCCGAATTTGGTCTTTTGCTTCGGATTTTGTGGCTCCGAGGAAATTCGTCGACGAGCAAAATGAATCTAAATGATAAAATGTATATATATATTATAAATTTTAAATATTTAATTAAAGATTTTATAAATAAATAAAATACTGATAAATGCTGACCTCTCTACATTTTTTAATTTCTGGTTTTCTTCCATTTTCCAAATAAGTATTTGTCCATCAAGACTACAACTAATTAACTAAAATTGAAATAAATAAATAATAAATGATTATAATGTTTCTAATAAAAAAACTTTTAAAATTTTGTTATAAAAATATATATTTTTTTAACTTTTTGATAATAAATATTAAGTACAATTTAACTTACAAGTTATTCAAAATACAATAAAAACCCCTACTTTGCGACTACTAATGGTTCCGAACAAAAAATGGTCTTTATGAAGTGGTATTCGCTTTGAAAGGGTTTTTCATTAAAACAAATAATACACCATACTTTATTGATACTATGTATATTTAAATTTTGTATTATTCACAAATTTTTGTTTGTTTTAAGAGTAACTTTTTACACAATACAGTTTCTTTTTCGAAGTTCTCCTCTACTTTGCACAAAAGAGTTTCCACGTATGCATTTCCTGAATTATTTCTCAGTGACTTTCGTCTGGCAAGCATTTCAAATTTCACTTAGTTTCAAAGGTAAAGGTTCCAGCTGCTGATTGCTAAAATCATCTTGTGCGTCACTCTTTCAATTCTCTCCGTCAAATTTCTGAAAAAGACGATTCAATTTCTCTCCAAATCTTCGGAGCACTTGATCTCATTAATTGGTAATATCCTCAATATCCAGATGCATATGCATTTGTTACAAGCTCTTCTATTTCTGTCTGAGGAATATGCACTTACTGTTTCTTATTCTTCAGCACAACTGAAGCTACATTGCTGGAAACGTTTCTTGACTGAGGTTGAATTTCATTCCATGTTGCCATCAACTATTTTGAGGATGTAGTATGACCTGCAAGCTCATTCACAGTTGATGATTTGTCTATTCAGACAATTATAGCTATAAGGAACCATTTATAATACTGAATTTTGAATATTTTAATGATTCTTTGGTCTAACAGTTAAAGTGGAGAGATCATATTTGCTGGAAAAACTTCAAAAGTTCAACATTTGAAAGTGTGATTTTTGTATGACGTGATACATTGTCCACAAATAAGAGAATTTTCATATAGTTATTTTTCATTTTATTCAGTTTTTCAAGCCATTCTGTGAAATTTGCAGTAGTCATCCATGCCTTTTGATTGCTAAGCCAGTAAACTTTTAGCCGCGATGCATGTATGTTCTAAAACAATTTGGCTAGAAAAATTTATTTATCACAAAAGGAGATTCCTTCTCACCAGTTGTGCTAACACAAAAGGCAATTTCTTGTAGAAAAGGGCTGGCAGAATTACAATTTAATAAAAAGTAAAATACATCACAAATGGATACGAGTTCAATTTTGCTTGCCATGTCCAATCACCAGGAACAACTATTGAGAGAAAAATTCATTTTCAAGTGGTTTCAACTAGGCAGTCGTGGTCACGGATAGGGATGGTCCTATTGGAGGGTTGAAATACATAAAAATTAGGAACTTTGTACTCCTCTCCAGACAAAAAGATCTTTATAAGAGATAGTGTTTTAGATGGGTTTTACTATGTTCATATTTATAGTAAATTAATCTGAATTTTGACTCAGCTGAATAATGCCTTATTTTAATGAAACAGTGTGATTCTGGTTTATGCTAGTTTCAACTAAATTTTTAATTGTCTTCTAAAACAATCACATTTGTGAAATTAGTGAAAACTGGTAACTTTATGGTTAATTTCTGAGTAATTTTTGTTTTGTTGCATTACTAGATTTTTCCTGTTTATGAAATAGTTGGATCATACTGAGGTTGCTTTAAATTTAATACTCTGTTCTGGATTTAATCTTGCTCTGATCATATTTCATGCGACATAAGCCATCCTGTCTTTATTTGAATAATCATTCTGCATCGCAACTTTCCAGCACTGGCCAACTAGTGATTCCTGTTCTTACACACATTTTTTGTTTATAAGATATTTTAATGTGTGTGACACATTAAAATATCTTCCTTCTTTCTCCAGTCTCTTATCATTTTTTCAGTTATATCAAACTTTTCTTCCAACAACTTTGTTGTTGAATTCCTTTGTCATTTCAATCATTTTTAATCTAAAACTTGTTTCACACTTTCTTTCCTTTGATTTTAAACAATAGAAATTGTAAATGTAAAAATTTATTTGTAAAAGTAATTCAAAATTTTTGAACTGAATTATATAAAAGCAAGCATCTTCTAGAACAGGAAATTAGTTAAAACTTTTTACATTCAAAATAATGGGCGAGTGACTACGCAAACTCTTAGTCAAACTATAATACATACAAAACACTTTCTTCTCTGCATAATCTACTGATATAGCACTACAATTAATATATTATTGCTCGTTGATATTCATTTATATTGATATTTCTATTGTATTTCCCATACTAGATGATGATAACTCATTAGTAGATGCAATGTTATAAGTATTTTATGACTTCCTTTTAAATTGTTCTTAACAATTATTTTCTATTTATATGGAGTTTCCCCAATTTCATTGTCTAATTGTAGGTTTAGTAGTTGAAAGGTAATTTTCTACAATTTATATTGTAAGGAGGAACCTACTCCTTTTACTTTTATGTTATATTCTGTTTTTTAGGAATTTTGTTTAGTTTTAGGCAACAACTTCCCAATCACAGAATAAAATCCTAAATTATCCTTAACTCACATCAGCTATATTTGAAAATAATGCAATTAATCACATGAAAACAGAAATTCAAAGATAATAATTTAAAAATTCAATTAAGAAAATCAGATTTTTTTTAAAAATTTCATGTTATAATTTAGGTAAATATTGTTGACAAAATATATTTATAGTTATATTTCTCTGTATGTAATATTCTTTACTGATCGTGATGATTATTAAATATGAACACGAAAGAATGGAATTGGTTACGCCTAGAAATTATCGATTTGTTGATAATAGTTTGTTAATCTAACTGATAAATAGAAGAATATACTGATGTTTAATTATTTATAATAGAATCAAGTTTGAATTCTTGTTCAATACACTGTTTTCAAACAAAATTTTAACATTAAAAATGCGTAAGAGATATCGAAAAATCTCTTAAAATTTTAATGTACTTTCAAAGTTTTATCCCTGTTTTATAATAAATTTAGTATGATATAGATACTCATCAATAATACAAAGTCCAAAGTTGAAGTGACCTATATACAATCTAAGCTATCTTTTACTTGTTTAAAAAATAAAATTTCTGTTTTAAAAATTGATATGGATAAAAGAAATTTCGGGAAAATATTTCGTTGAAAATCTTACTTGTTGCAGTCGATCCAAGAATTATTAACACGACATTTGAAATGAGTAATGATGACATTTTCTGAAGGGCATTGTAATGGCTTTGACCTGAAAAAAAAAATCCATTATAAAATTAGAATTGAGCTTTATAGGGAAATATATTCGAAGAATTTCTTAAAGAGAATTATAGAATCTCCCTGAAGACAGATTAAGAGTTCATGGAAATATATATGCTGCTTAAATGTTACAGATTCGATTAAGGATAGAAAAATTCTGAGTTTATGACAGGATTGCGTGTAGTTATCTAGAATGAAGAGATATTATCTTGTGGAATATCTGAAGAAAGGAATGTAAAAGACAGGATGATGAATGTGGATTTGAATGTTTGATATCTTTTAATTATTTTACATTAAATAATTACTCTTTAGATACGATTTAAAGTTGAACGCGGATTATTTTCATATGTTAACTTGTAGAAGAATAAGAAAGAAATTATTCAGTAAAATTTTACTACCAACCTGTTTGCAAAATCAATTTGACCTTCTTCAATGAAATATCCGTTGATTGATTTTGAATATATTCCAGAAGCTACAGCGTAGAACCATAAAAATGAAAATAATATATAGAGCAAGATATCTCTCCGTATAAACAAAATCGCCATATTTTTAAGCGCTAACGAGATTAAACAGCGTGAGAAGAACGAATAAATTACTTGATGTTTTTCTTCTCGTGAGATTTATGTGGTAGTTAACTGAATTATTCGAAAATTATTTATATTAAACGAAAAAAAAATGACGTTCGAATAAACTATTTTTTCACATCTCTAGAAGTAATTAATAATGATTTGAATTTTTAAATAAAGGAAAGGGGAAAAAATATTTAGAGATTTAAGATAAAAGTGAAGTGTATATTATCGATCTGAAGTCTGAGATTTTCGATGAATGTTGACGTCAAGATAAACATGATTTAAATATCTCACAGATAATATTTTTTAGTTTGTTAACATCAACATAAAAATTAACTGTCTGTAAAATCTTATCGAACTGTTTATATGACTTAAAATATCGATTTATAGATGTAGAAAAGTTGGATAAATGTTGATAGAAAGGTAAACAAGTCTGATTTCTCTACATTTATCTCTTTTCCTTTTCAAATATGCCATCCTAAGAAGAGTAAAACTGTATTTTATATACTTTAAAGAAAACTTTAGTTAGTTTAACATAAACATAATTTCAGGAATTTAATTTAATGTTTTTAAGTATGAAGAAGCTAATTAAAATAACGCAAGCTACAATAATATCATTAATTCCTTTATATTTCATATTTAAAAAGATGTTAAATCAAGTAAAAATTATTATTATAAAATATAAAAATGTGAAGTAAATTAGTTAAAAGAAAGGTAAACAAACAAGATGCAAAAACATTATTTATGCATCAGTTGATCCAGATGAAAGAAGACATTATCAGTTTTAACTCGTCACTGTTAGATAAGAAATTGTGAAAAACCGAGCTAGATAAAACAGGGGAATGTGAAATTGTGCGTACTTAAATAGATAGAATTAATGTCTGTTGTTTCTTTAAGCACTTAAATGACTTCTTTTTATAATAAAAAAAATAACATAAATAAAAATGATCATTACTGTAGATAAAAATATAACTAAACAGATCGATTTATGTTGGTAAGTGGATTAGTAAAGTCTAGAAAAGTTGGTTCGAAAGAGAAACGAGCTTAGAATTTTCCTTGAAAACTACGAAAATAGTAGTTTTTAATCAATTAAATATCATACAAACCTTCAAACGATGGATAAAAGTACGTAAAAATGTATTAAATTAATTGTAAACATTCAGATTTTAATGAAGAACTAAAGTTCTATGAGATAAATGATTTAAAGATGGGATTTAAGATCCTTCTAATGCACTTAGAAAATATTTTTAATTAATTAAGATTAATATAAAAGTGTTAACATAAGCGAAAATTATTATCAAATGAGATCAAACTGGGCGTATGAACGAAGTTATTAAACTTCATTCGTTAATGGATTAGTAAAAAGTAGAAAAGATAGAATAAATGTTGTCAGGAAGATAAATACGACTTAAAACACTTCACCAGCACTTAGATGATGGTTTTAATTAGTTAAGATTAACACGTAACGTTTACGTAAATGGAAATTATCATCATAGACGAAACTGTGTCAAATAAAATTATCAGTTTAATTCCCTATAGGTTGCTAAAATCTATCACACGTGGAGAAATAATGTTTGAAATTTGTAAATATCCGCACTTTATTGATAGTTTGTGTATAGATAAAGTGTGTAATCATAAATTCTAGAGACGGATATGAATTTATAAATTATTTTTTATTAATTTAATAGTTATTTATGTGCACCAATATTGGCTTTCTTTTTCTTTAAAGCTTTAACTGAATGGATAAGAACCTACAAGTTGTCATCCTGCTTAATGAGAATTTTTAGTAGGAAGTTTGCAAATAGGATTCATATCATTAGCCTTCTCAGAGGGGAGCAAACGGGGCACTTGTCTCTATGGAATCGAGTAAAAAATTCCACAAATTATAATCGTAAAAGTGTTTGAGCTATGTGATCTTACATCCTCGACCATGGACTTTGTCTGTCTTTAAAAAAATCCCCAAAAATTAAATAATTACATAAAAATTTATTGATGTAATTATTTGTCTAGAAGCTTTGCCTCCTGGAAATTTATATTATATATATATTTTGCTATAACATTTGATTTAAACGCATTTATTTGAACTTCAAAGAGATTTAAACTCAGAAAAATTCATAAAATATACAATTTTGTAATCTTTACTACAACTTTATCAGCATTTACGCGAGTAGAGAAGCAGAATAAACTAGACTTTATCTTTTAAACTCTTTTAAAATTTTCCAATTTAAATAAATTTCTATTTATTGGTAACATAATTAAAACTAGCTTCTGATATTGTTTACGTAGTGAACAATATTTTGGAAACTAAAAACAAATTCAGCTATCTGAGACGATGTCGTTGCCCTTTATAATCAAATAATCAAACAGATCAGTAATTCCTGTACTTTATATAGATTTGTTTAACCGTGTAGAGTAAAAGTTGTGAATTTTTTTTTGTTATTTTAAAATTAAGCAACTTCTGTAATATTTTCGCGAATTTCGCATGAAACTGATCGATTTAAATTAGTCAGAAATGCTCATTAAACGGGTTTATATGCGGAATTTGACGTTCCAATATCTAGAAAATTTCAGAAAGATATTGCAGGAAGTGTTGTAAATATGTTAACACCTATATCCTCTTTCATAACACCTACTAAAATGTAAGTTATTTGTAACATATTTAAGTTTTTATATTAGAAAAATAAATTGAATAAATAGAAAATCTTACGATCGTGCCAAAGCGTGTGTTTTCGGTTTTTCTCAGAATTATCGATTTTGGAAAAAAATAAATAAAATAAAAAGAATATTTTTTCGGTAAAGTGCACTTACGAGAATCGTCGCTAGAGGTCACTCTCATTGAGCCCACGCCGTGTGTGTTTCTTCCTCAGATCAATGGCTGGTCTGTGTGTGGTGAGGTAGTAATATTTCTCCGTTCGTAACACGCCTGTTTTTATCTACAGAAAAATGCATAGAGGAATTTACAATACAGTAATTGATAACTTAACATCTAGTAAACCTACTGAAGAGAGGTAAGTGTACATTTCACATGTCAATTTCACGTTAGCATGTGTTTAACGTAAAGCGAGTTTTAATACGTGCTATGTGTCAGCCTAGTTAAGTTTTCGTGTATTGTGTGTAGCCTGTAAGAATCATTGCTGATTTTTATTTTACCTTCTGCAGAATTTAATTTACTTAAATTATCATCGCCCGTTAATATCTCAATGCCACGTCGTACCTGTACCTGTTTCTTTTTTTTTTGTTTTGCTTTGCTTTTTGTATCCACCCCCTTCCTGTTAAGTCACCTTTCAAAGTAATGTAAATTTCAGTTTGAATTTATTAAGCTTTATGTCCATTTCTGTTGAATCTGATAGATTTTCAAGCCTTTCTTTGATTGTGTAAAAGTTCTAAGCAACAGGCTGAAGTTTATTGAAAATGCAGATAAAGAATTTTATATAAAGAAAAGAACAGAAATAGTCAAATGCTGGAATCTCAAGGTTGTTAACTAAAATTACAATACTCAAGGCTAGATAGGATTGGTGTTTTGTATTGGGTTTAAACATTGGCATGGCATGAACTGCGAAGGAATAATAATAATAAAAATCTAGGTAAATTCGGCCACAGAATATGTTTTTGTAGGCCTGACCAAATTCTTCAATGTCTGTATTGCAGAATAAATGTATGTCTTTACTAACCTAGTATTGCTTAATGTATTATAATAATTAAATATTTAATATGGTACACAAGTAAAAAATCTTTATCTAGAAAATAATTAAATAAGGAAATATGGATGGTATAATATGTTGTTATAATTAGATTTAACCTTTGTATTTTTATTAGTAATAAATTTATAAAAGGCATGGTTAACTGCATACAAGTATTTGATTCTTTAAATATTATTGTTTAGTATTGTCTGCATTAAAGTAGAACAATGCCACTTTAGAAAATTTAATTCAAATACCTATTGTGTTTAGTTTCATTGTTTTTAAAAAGTTTTTGTATTATTCTCTATTATGTAAAAATTCTAATTTCTTTTTTATCAAAAATCTAAATTTTTATAAGAAACTTGGACATTAAATACTGATTTGTCAATCATTCGCATGATTGATTGAAACTTTGCCCTCTCCTCGTAAGCTATATCAGATTTAAACTTATAAAATATTTGGTTAAAAACTTATCTTTTAAGATAAAACTTTGGAGTTGGATGATTGATCTAGTTTAGATCTTCCATATCAAGCATTTTATTTAAAAATTTATGGATAGATCTGAAGGAAATCCTCTAGAATAATTTTGTTAAACTGCCTTCCTAGTAAAGAATAAAACATTTAAAGCAAAATTAATAAGAGAAATTTTACATTTGTTAGATTAAATGTTCATAAATTATGTATAAAGTTCATCTAAATGATTAATGTTTTCTATCAGAATTTATAAATGATGAAAAGCTTTGTATTTCTTCAGTTTTGATTAAACAGTTTAGATATAAAACTTAAAACTTTTAATAAAAATGCAAGTCTATATACACAGCTGAAACTAGAATGAAGATAAGTGATGGTAATTATCTTTTATTGATACTCAATGAGTTTGAGGTTGATTGGTTACTGTGTTGTTACTGGATTAGAAATTAATGTATTCAATTAATCATCTGTTTAGTGAAGATTATGCTTATTAGTACAGAGGATTTGTAAGCTTATCTACCTAGTTTCTTTAAAATTCATTTATTAATGTCTAAAATTTGCCTTGAAATTCATTCTAGAAAGGAGAAACTATATTTGTATGATTCTTTGCAGTGGTGTGTTATAGCTTATGGGGCTCATTCACATTTCAGTTAGGACAGTGTTGTCTTCAGACATTTTTCTTCGGTTGAATTTTTTGGGAAAATATTTTCTTATAAAAGATTGGTTTGGGCCTCTTTTGGTGGGGTCCCAGGCTGTTGCCCTTTTATCCATAGGATAATGTTACTGATTCATTGAAAAATATCTGAATTACTATTTCATAATTTGTGTCCTGTAATCTTGTCCTTTATGATGTATTTTGTATTTTTTGAAAATTTTTGAGTGTATTTAAGCTAGTTTAATTATTACCTTAAAACAGGAATTACACAAACTTCATACTATGCATATAAATATGTTGAATGATACCAAACAGAAGAGAATTTCAATTTCGACTTGTTAGTGTTTTATAACTTCAATTTATAGCTAATTAAGGTCGTCAAACTTACCAATAATTTACTTAAGAAGACTCCATTATGGCGCCTTTCCCTTTAATCATATTTATTATGTATGGTTTTTTTTTTCTTCCAAAACGTAGCAAAAACGAAATATTAATGCTAACATTTAATAAAATGATAATCGTTTAAGTACGTAATAACTTTCAAATTAAATTATTCTTAACAATCGCATTCAAATTCTTTATTAAAATATTACTGAAGATTGAATTAAGAGTTTTTTTTTATTTACTTTATTTTTTTCCTTTCCAAAAATGGCAGCTTCCATGTTTGTTGTCATGGTTGCATTTGAGTCGCTTGATTTTTAACTTAGTTGCTTTATGGTTTTGTTTTGAAGTGTATAATTGACTTTTATTTGTTTTTGTAGGGAGAAAAAGTAGTATTTATCGAAATTAGTTTAATAATAATGTCAAATTCGTGAAACACCCGATGTTAAACGTAACTTAATTAAACATACACGATGCATCATGGAAGTGAACACGAACATGCATGCAAAGTTCGAAATTAATCCATAAGACACACATTAATGAGTTTTAGAGCCCAACACCTATTCATTATAGTGTGTTAAACGTAGGTCAACCACCCGATAATTGTTTATTTATGAATGTATGTGTGCATATAAGAATTCTTCCGTGCTCTTAGCCAAGTTTTCGTCCTTGGCTTAGGAACCAAAGAACCCGTTTTGTCAAGGGATTTTGACCCGTGTACACAATGGATTCTTTCAGATGGAAGTTTTTTTCTAAATATGACCAAGGTTATGCATTCGTGCTTGAATTCTGCTTAGAAACTATGTAAACAAACATTGCTATATAGTACAAAATGGTAGCTACTTAGTAAATTAAAATGTAATTACATTAATATCCACGTTATATGTTGAATTACAAAGTCGTCTGTATCATATAATTCATTCTAGGATTTTAAAAAATTTAATCAAATTAAACGAGGGCATATTCAAAGTATGTAGTTAATGCATAATTGATTCATCTTCAACTTTCTAATTTTCTATAGGTGCTTAATAAATGCTTGCTGCTGTTTGTCATCCTTGAAGGTGCAACTGGTGTGTGTCGACATATTTTTCAATCTTTTAAGTGGAAAAATTTATATATATATAAATCAATCATGCATGCGATGACACCTTTAACACAGCGAAAACTTTGTGATATAGAGTTATCGTGCTTTAATTCAGACACGTCAGCCATTTTTCTTTCAGTTTAAACATTGATCATCGTTTCCGATAGAGATCGATGCTTGTAAATTATCGATTTCGAACCGTAGCGATAGCTGATCGATTCTACTTGTTTATTGATTGTAAATAGGCCAGTCGCATGAATATTACAATAAAGAAAATAGCTATGGTACTAACAGGTGATTGTAAGTATGTAAGCTTAACATAGCTTCACTCGAGTCGACTACATTATCATTAAAGTTCTGATAATGGGCGAGGTCGGTCGACGAACCTTATCGATGTTTCCATTGTAGAAATTTGGATTTAATTATTTAGAAAGGTTACATGGAAGAAAACATTTCCAAGATCCTCATAATTAACCTTTAATACAAGTAACGTACTACATTGGTTTTGGATAAAAATCACTCGCGTGTTGGGTGCAGAGAGAGAAATCGAATTAATTAAGAATTCCAGTGGGGTTCATACTTTTATGTAAAAATCATTTCTTTTAGTCAGTTATGCAGCACTTCTGAGAGATGTAGCAGGTGCCATTTGATATTTAAAAAGAGAAAAAAACTAGTAAAAAAAAGAGGTGAAAATTAATTCAAAAATAGAAACTTGCTCAGTTAACTTAGTTTTAAATATAGTAAATAGGTGAATTTTGTAAGAATGCAGTGTTTTTTGAAGAGTATCGCGTAGCACATGTTGCAGTAGGATCGATATTAGAACTTATTTTTGATTACTATAAATGGTTTCGATTTTTTTAGCCATTATTAAACTTGAAATATATCGTTTGCAACGGGGGTTCTCCTTATATCCCACATGTGTTTTCCATCTCACGCACTCATTGTTTAACTCTTAAAAGTTTGTTTTTTTTTTCTGGTTGCTAAGTGATATTCAAACACAGGCTGCAAAAGTTCGTCGACTGACTATCAATCTCAATTTTATTCTATAGAAAAAAAATTACAAATTATGATTTATATAATATGCTGGAAACTTAGTCATGGCGTAACGTTTCCGTTTAAGACGTGATTGAAAAAGCAAAGGGGGAAGGAAGAGGAAAAAATTAGAGAGATAACTCTCGCTGTCTTACGACGTTTTGCGGCCATTTTACCTTGAAACTGATCACGTTTTTGCGTGTTCCATAAAGGAAAGACCTATTTATGCGGTAGTAAACAAAATATTCGTGTGGGTAGGTGTATGTTCAATTATTGTTGTAATGGAGAATTATAAAAAAAAAATATCCATCTTTTAAAATATGGAACAAATAAATAATTTTTCGATTCAATTTTTGCGTTTCATCTTACAAAAGAATATTGGTTAAGACTTTTTAGACCTTGAACTTATTTGATTAACTTCAAAGTTGACATTTCATCTATTTAATTTGCATTTTAACGCTTGAAATCCACTATGACGATCCATTTTAGTTGTTTTCAAAATCCGCGATTGATGCAATTTATTAAGTTAACATGTAATTTAATTTCAAGTACATCGCCATTCCTAGAAACACCTGCCATTTAAGAAAACTTTAAACTAAATGTTAAGACTAAAATAACTCTGGAAAAAAATCCCTCCATTTTTCTTCTTTCTTTATCCGAAAAGATAACATAGAGATTTTACTTCATATAACTTTTCGTTTGTTAGATAAGTACCGGATATCTATTTAGAGCCTGTAAATTTGGCAAGTTGACAGGAACCAATCTGATCCTTTTAGAAAATATTGCAGAAAATGCGAATAATCTAAACTTAGGTTTACTTCAGTGTAAAATGCGAAGTGTGGGGGAAATCTCCGAATTCCATATAGCTGATTCTGTTGTCCTTCGCGTTAAAGTTGCGAAGGATTGTATGCTAATTTATAGGGATTATTTTTTAATTTTAACTATCGAACTGAGCCATTCTCCTACTTGCTATATCTACTGGAAAGGTGAGAGTTAAGGATCGTTGATGAGTTGAATGCTTGCTAATATTCAAATTGCGAAGTACAACTATACTTTAACTATTACGTCAACTAGTCGCAACTAGGATGAGTGTTAAGAAATGCTTTTGTTGAATACAATTCGAATTTTAATTACTATGTCCCCATGTTGTTGCAACAGGTCGTTGAATGTGGATGTTTAGGAATCTTCTAGCGTGGGAGTGAAAGTTTTTAGCTTTATATGCTAATTTGAAGTTGCTGCTTCTTTTATTGAAGTTTCAAAATATTTTATGCCAATATGTAAATTCTACTACATTTGTAGTTCCGTATTTTATTATAATGCAGCGTTGTATCGTATTGTAAATGTGCGCGTTATGTTGAAGTTTTAGCATACTTTTCTATGGCCTTTAATGATAACATGACACAGTATCATCATTAAAAAACTACGAAGTGGATTGACCTCATTATAAACTGCACATGCGTTATGAAAAAAATGAGTTAACGGTGGCTAACGGCTAAACGACGTTGTCATTTTTTTTTAATATCTTCTAAGTGGTACTGGACGAACATTTGTTACAAGTTCACTGACCGACTCGACTCTCAATTATACCACATCCTGTATTCAAACGATGTTTTTATACATTTAGTTCGAACTTTTTTCTTCTATACTCGGCCTAGTGGTTCGAAAATTACTTTCTAAGAAATTTACAAAATTTAAACGTAAAGAATAAGCGAAAAACTGTAATTAGTTTCGTAACAAATTCCAGGTATAAGCATAGTTAGGGGTGCACAAAACAAATTCAATTCTTTCGAGTACAATTAATGATAAATGAACACTTCTGCACGATATATCCTAGTTACACATGTTTGCATTTTTCAGATAATATCGATTTTTCTTTTCATACGCCACATAAAATTGTTTTAAAGTATAATTTTAAAGTTTATAAGGACGTAGACGTAGCTCTAAGATCTTTAAAATTGTGTTATAGCTATGACACTACTACACATATGTCTATATTTAGTAGGTTAAGTGGTGAACGCCCGACATTTTGATGGTGTTTTTGCCGTTCCAAATACGAATTTTCTTGAATTTATGTACGAATTAAGCGCATGCAATTCTGTAATCTTAACTTTAATATGAAGGAATCTCAATCTCTTCAAATGGCATAAAGCAGCATGTAACCGGTTTCTACGGATAGGAAGACCTTTCTCCGGATAACATCCTTTTGCATGACCTTAGCTGATGTCATGTGGTGATGTGACGCAATTCTTGCTTACCTTTCTTTATATTATACCTTACAGAATGGATTACGCTAGGTCAAGGTTTATAATATACTAGGAATTCGTGTCACGTGATAATTCTCTTCATTGTGAAGGTGTTTGCTGGAATTATTGATCCAGCTAGCAAGCTGAATTTTTCTAAGTTGTTTTTTTTATGTTTTTTTAGGTGGTGGGTTAATAGCCATTGAGAAGTGCATGGATAACATTCACATATCTCTATTCACAATATGGGAAAAGACTGTTGGAAGAGGGAGAAAATCCATGGTGAGTAATTATTTTTACATCAGAATTTATACATTACTTACTAATTATTTATGTAAGATTACTGAAATGTTATAGAAACAATTAAAAAAATCTTTAATAATTGACCCGAATATGCCCGTTGAAACATTTCATATTTATTGCTGTGGATAATGTCTAAAAGAGGAATGTTTTGTTTTATTGTGCTAAATACAATTTAAACTAGGGCATAAATTGGACATTAAAAAAAACTGACAGATCAACCAAATTTGAGTGTTGATAACTCTATAAAATTTGACATCGACTTGGAAATGTGGTATTACTGCAATACAGTGAGATGGGTCAGGTTGTGACTTTTAATGGCAACCAGGATATATTTAATTGAAAAAAACCTGCATTCTTTTTTGGACAATACAATTCTAGGAATCGATACTACCACCAGAAAAGGCCTAGAGTCAAGAATTTAAACAAGGTTTCTTTAGCTAAACCAGTTAAAGTTGTGCAATTTAAGTAGGTTAGATGTGAAATAGTTGGTGTTTGATAACAATTTTATCAGCTTGTGTTTAAATATCTGATATAAATTGTTATATATACTTAAAAACACTTGCACAAAGCCAGCTAAATAAATAAAGCTAATAGTCTCTTCTGGATTATTAATCTGAAAACATATTTCTTCTGTTTCCACCTATTAAAAAAAAATGTCTTGTGCAATTCCCACTGTACTAAATTATTATAATAAATCTAGATAGGATTTGCCAGTCATGCTTTGGCTTATTTATGTTATGCAAATTATATAATTTCCTGATATTGCTTAAGTTATTAGCCACGGGTTTTAAATAGCATGTTTTTTTTTTTTTTTTTTTTTGAAAGCTATGAATTGGAAATGGCACAGGTTTTCTTGAAAAAATTGATTTAAATTTAGTTGACAGCATCAAAAATATTACAGTTAACTTGTCAAGAATTGACCCGAAATAAACTGAAAAAACTCAATCTGTTCATCATCTTAGCATTTATTCTCTTACTCAACATTTATTATGCAACCACTAATACTGCTACCAATATTTAATGCTTAGAAGTGATATTTTATGACATCCTTCTTATGGTGTCAGTTACTTGAGGGAATAAATGCCATTATTTTTTTTTTTGTTCTCTAGAGTTTTATAGTAATTTTGTTGCTGAGATGAGGTAAAAATGACACTTGAACATAGAAAATCCATTTAAAATGTTAAATTTAAAAAGAAATTTATAAATGGAGTTTTATTACAATTTTTTTTAAAACAAGAATCCAAAGATTGATATCAGCTCTGAAAAAAGGAAAGAAGAAACTAAAGTAATTGTATTAAATAGAACAGTACTAGGAAGTGATTTCATTAAGTTCAGAATGTTTGACATCCCACACAAATGATATCATTTCTAAAAACTTTTACAATATAGAGTTTAATGATCATTCATGACTAAAGTTGCTAATTATTATAACAAGATACACTAAATTATTAAATAAAATTCATCTTAGTAATAAAAATGTATATAAAAAAAGCAAATATTTATCATTAAGATCAGTATAAGTAAACAAATTAAGTAATTAAACTAATATTTGAACTTTTATTATAATTAAAGTAAATATTCTTTGCTCAAATAATACTTAAAAATCTATATTATTCGTCTAGGTTATATACTTAATTGATAAAGTAATGAAAATAATAAATTTTCAATTTAACTTAAAAAAAGGATATAAAATTAATTCAGCAGCATGTTTTAAATAAAATATAAGCTTTGAATAGCATATAAAATTGATTAAATAATCAATAAAAAGTTTAAAGAGAGAAATTTATTCAATTGATTTATAAATTGTTATTTAGAAAAGGAAAGGAAAAAAATTACTTTTCATTCACAATTTATAGAAAAAATACTGTTGTTAAACTACTTGAGCATCTGTATTAATTATATTCATTGCCTGTTATAAGTCATTAATGCTGTTTAAATAATCAGCCTATCATCTGTAAAGTGAAAGTAATATATATTGACACAACCAGTTGTATGAATATTGAATTTTTGGCTTTATTCCAGTGTTATAGAAATGCCAAGTTTCCATATTGATATGGTAATATCTTATACGTGATTTTTTTTATACCTCCCCTAAACATGTTGGGAAAAATCTTGGAAAATATAGTTTATTTGATTTTACATCGATCTAACCAGTGTATAACGGTAAAAAACGATTGGAACAAGATCGATTTTTTTTTCGAGGTTCATTTGTAAAACACTATATACTTAGAATAGCATTCGTCACGTTTTAAACAAGTTGGCATCTGCATAACAATATTTGTGTGCCTTGAATTTCTCTTGAATTTCGTTTCTATTTTATTGATTTTATAAAATTATAAAAGTATACATTTCTTTTGTATTTCGTTTAACATAGAAATGATTTTAACGAAATTATAATTTTTTAAATTATTATTATTATTTTTTAAATGTAAATAAATAATTTTGTAAGTTGTGTATATGTTAAATTGCTTTAGTGTGTTATTGCGTGTTATACTTCTACATAAATTTATATTTAAGTTTTCGAGTAACATTGAAGGAAATTAATGTAAAAAAATTCGTTAAAATTAAATTGTAATTAGGTCCTCATTGAAAATTAAGAGAATATAAATGAAGTCTAACAATCCGGGAATTGACCCCATGCTGATGGTCTCAAAAGCCGCTCTAAAATTATTATTATTTTTGCAGAATTACTTTGAACTTTTAAATAACTTTTTAAATATTTTATATATCCATAAATCATTCGGTTAATGTACGAAGTTAGACGTTATACATAATTAATTTCATATATTCTTCGTAATTGATTGACCTTTTAAGGAAGTTAATGCCTTAATAATCACATAATGGAGTCTGTGAATTTTAAAAAAATTGGAGGAACTTCTATAATAAGATTTATTTAGAACTACTACTCCGGAAAGACGCTAATTTTAGGGGAAATTAACCGAAAACGTATCACCTCCCAAATCGCACCAGTTCTATATTTTAAAATGTGTTATTTCCTCCATTTTTTTTTTTTTGGGTCAATTTTGAAATTCAATGCCGTTGATGACGTCGCAGTAATTTAGTTACCATTGTCCACTTTTTGTTTATAGTGTGCTTGTTGAAAGGAAAGTTTTTCGTTATTTTTTGTAACGCTTTAAGGTAAACACATTCACGATACAGCATTTGTTATTAGGCGCTTATAAGTGAAGATGCTTGCTTCACAAAATGGCGTTGTATCTGAAATCATACTTCTAATTGGCGATACGTAATTGTTGATAAAGATTTTTATTATTATTTTACGTTTATTCTTGAATGAGCGATAAATAAATGTTTGAAAAATGGAGATATAAAAAATATGTATCGTCTTTAACAAAATGTTCCGTCTAACTATTATAAATGCACGTAAATTAGCATATTAGATTTTTGTTTTGCAGTTTTTATTACTCAGAACATCAAATAGGAGTGAGTGTGAGCAGTAAAAATTACTTAAAAATATACAGTATTTATATAAATCACACATGGAATGAGTGAATTTTGGAAACCTCTGGTGTGATTTTAGAGACTAGTCGACCAAATGCACCGTTTGCAGAAATTTATATAAACATAAATAAAAACAAATTGTTTGAAGTGAAAATCTGATATGCACGGTACAGTATATAATAGAACAAATATGTATTTAAACGACTTAATAATTGAATTGACATTGTTACGCCATCTAAGAATTTTATACACACTTTCGTAAAAACTGGTGCGATTTGGACTACTTTTCCCTATAGATTTTTGAGTTATGCCATCAGAATTTTTGGTTTAAACAATAGATTTTCGTAACTTGTTTTCATATTTCTAACGTGATATTTTCAGTAACTGCTTGTAAAGCGATTGAAAGTTCAGTGTGTGCACATATATACAGCCAAACCTTTGAACAATGGCCACTGACGAAAACAAAAAAATGGCCGTCATTCGGAGGTGGTCGTTGTTTGGAGGTTTTGCATATATTTCAAAAGAAACTTTTCGGAAAAATGGCCGCCGTTTCGAGGTTGTCGTTATTAGAGGTTCGACTGGATGCTTGTTTGTGTATAATCTTCAATAGCAGCCACCTCTAAACAGTGTCATATATGTATACACACCCAACCTAACCGCAATCAAGTAGAACCACCTTACGACTGGTACAAATTTGTTGTTATTATTAAAAAATGCTGTATACGTATACTATATTATTTATATATATATTTTTGGTTATTGTATTATTTAATTTAAACTATTATCGGGAATAGAATAACAATGAATCTATAGGGGGAAAGAAAAATTCGATTTACGACTGCTCGCTTAACAACAATTTCCTAAGAACATTAAATCGTACCGTATTTTTATTAGAAACGCGACTATATTCTCACTGTATAATTGCTCATCATTACACTAATAAAATTTAATAAAAATACTCAGTAATAGGAAACTTAAAAAAAGAAATAGTATTTTTTTAAACCTTGTTTTAAGTTGTCACGTAATCGTCACATTTAATCTGTTTTTAAATTTAAAATATTCTAAATGCGTATAATTTAGTTAAGATTGCGTTTCTAGTACGTACTAAACGCATTAAGTAACGTTGTACGCCATTAATTTTGGTATGTTTTCATAAAAAGTGTCTAACAGATTTATGATTTCAAGGAGAATATCTTAATAAAACACTCAAATCTTTATTTCTGAAAAATCGATTATTAAACAATTTAAATAGTGTCGAACTTTTACAGTAAAACTTCTGTTAAAAGTCCACTTTAGAAGAAGAAAAGCATTTTATTAAATTCAGCAGACTTCAACAAGTGTCCGACATTCTTAATTTTGGTAATTGTAAGCAAATAGAGACCGTAATCCCTAACCGGAATCGTCTACTACTTTAATAAAACAGAGCCGCATCTAATCAAAAGAGCGTAAAAGTTATTGCATGGCGCCAGGGTTGTTTCATCATTCATTCTCCCACGAGATACCAGACAAACTGAAAGTTCCGTTAGAGCATCCAGGGCGTGGTTGATACAGCATTTCTATTTTGGCGCACGATGCCAGTTGCCAAGGTCTGATATAACAATCGAGTTAGGGGGTGGTCCGCATTGGAAATTTATCTTTCTCGCTCTCGCTCTGCTTCTCCCCTCTGAATTATCTAGAAAAATCACAGATTTTGTAATTTTAACATCAATCACGAATTATTTTTTTAACCGCTTAAGTTCACACTGGAATGGAAAGAACGGGGAGATGCCCTAATTCTGACTGATGGCTACGATACGTTTTGACGTTGCTACAAAAGAAAATAACTGAAAAATGACCATTAATGGCTCCACACGATAGATTATTGGATAGTTTTTTACACACAGAAACGTCGCCAGAAAATTAGACCTGTCTCGTTTTTGCTGATACAGCGAAAGAACAAAGGGTTTTTTTTTTCTTTTTGTGAAAATTATTGATAGTTTACTCAAAGATGATGCTACAAGTTTTAGTTTTAATTATAGTTTACTAGGTTTTACTAACCTTTTTTTTAAAACTAAAACTAGTTGGAGTAGTTTACGTTACGTTCTAATTAACGCCTCATAAAAGAAGTATACTACTTCTAAACGGCCCCTTTCACTAGACTTGATAATTTTTAATTGTGCTTCCCGGTTATTATCTAGTGTGATTTGTTTTCAGCTTTTCAACAGTCCAGCACGTTTGCAGCTGTATTATATTACAACGGACAAGGACTAATAACTGAACGACCTTGAAGTTGTACAGTACATACATCTCTTCCTGTACTTACTCTCCCCTGTGCTATATACATGGCTTCATCCCACACCTGTTGAGTTTACATGATCACCTGTCTGCAGATATAAACTTAGATCTTTTACAATGTTTTTTAATTAGAATTTAATTTTTAAAATAGGAAAGTTGTGTTTTAAATTAATTAATTATAAATTTTTAACTGCTGACTGTGAGTTAAAATGGGAAAAGGCATTTGTGTAATTTTTATAAACAGTTCATTGATACAGCTCCTCTTTGACCTCATTAACACTTACTACTTAAGACATATGGCACATCTGTCCTTCAAATTTGCTTGTTTGCACTTTTCTATTTTCATAAGGTTTAATCTGGTTTTGGTTTATTTATGGATCTATATATACTGTACATTCCTTTCATTATTATTTTTTTCATTTTTAGAGGGTCTTTGGGAATAGACATAATCCACTGGAGATATAAAAAATATATGCACATTTTTAAGAATAAATTGTAATTGTAATGCATTAAATTGAATATATGTAAATTTTTTATACAGAGACGGAAAGACACATCAGAGCAAATGATCCTGAATTCAACACGCAGTTTAAATATGCGGTAAGTTTCAAACACATTTCAAGTTTTTATGAGAATTAAGCTCATAAGTTATCTTGGTAAGTGATGTAATAAGTTACATTCAATTATTTCTCAGGCATAGTTTTCTTGTTTCTGTAATTTCCAAATTGTTAGATTTATTTAAATTATTTAAAATTTGTTAATAAAATAGAAACAAAATTGAATAATAATTTACACCTTAAACTTTCTAGAATAATTACATCAAGACATCCAAGTATACTTTCCTGACATTTATTCCTATGAATCTGTTTGAACAGTTTCAGAGGCTAGCCAACTTTTATTTTCTTTGCTTATTGGTTTTGCAGGTAATATTTGTTGTTTAAAACAAAGTTCAATAATATAAATCATTGATAAAAGTTATCTTTCAGCTTATACCTCAAATATCTTCCCTTACTCCAGTTACTACAGCAGTGCCTTTAATAGTGGTACTTTCACTGACAGCTCTGAAGGATGCTGTGGATGATATCGTAGGTTGCTATTTGTGTCATTTTAATAAATAATTTAGATGTTTTTCCCATGGTATTTCAGATCCTTTTTTTATACTGTCAAATTTAGCGTCGTCACCGCAGTGATAATCAGGTTAATAACAGGGTGTTACGGGTATTACGAAATGGGAAATTAGTTGATGAAAAGTGGTATAAAATACAAGTTGGGGACATTGTTAGAATGGAAAATAATCAGTTTATTCCAGTATGTCATTTAGTTTCCTTACTGAGATAATAAAATAATTCATTAAAATAAAAAACTATTTGTCATTTGTTTACAGGCAGATCTTTTATTACTTTCTACTAGTGAACCTAATGGTCTTTGTTACATAGAAACAGCAGAATTAGATGGGTGAGCATAATTTTTGGACACTAAAGATATTTATTTATTTTTATTTAATTGTGTAATTATTTATATTTATAGAGAAACAAATTTAAAATGTAGACAAGCTCTTTCAGAAACAGCTGAACTTTCAGAGTCTGAAAAAAATTTAGGAAGTTTCGATGGTGATAATTATAATTATAATTGAATCAGATTGGTAAAATGTTTAATTTTAATGTTTATATGAATTTTAAAATAGGAGAAATAAAATGTGAACCACCCAACAACAATTTGAATAAATTTGAGGGAAACTTGTTTTGGAAAGATCATCTTCATTCGTTAGATAATGATAAACTTCTGCTGCGAGGATGTGTGTTAAGGAACACTCGTTGGTGTTATGGTGTAGTTATCTTTGCCGGTAGAGATACAAAACTCATGCAGAACAGCGGTAAAACTATATTCAAGCGGACAAGTCTTGATCGTCTTCTAAACTGGTTAATCATTGGTGTAAGTGGTGTATCTATATATATTTTGAATGTTTTAAAATCTTACTGTTGAGCTTTTAATAAGTTTAATGATGGGATGTTAAATTGCTACATAAATTAAACATTGGAAAATCTAAAATTTAATTTGATTTTTGTAAATTTTAATGTTGTTCATATAAAATTGAATGAAATCTTTGAATATTTGAACTTTTATAATTGATATTAAGTCTGTTATGGAAGTTCAAATATATCTTAATCTAATGTTCTTAATTTTAAATGTATTCTTAATTTAAAATTAATTATCAAATCAATTATATTTTCAAGTATTAGTTATTTAATAATTAACTATCAAACAGTTAAATTATTAGCTCTTAAGTTACTGAAATCATTGAGAAAAGTAAAATATTATTCATATGAAATAAAGCATTACAAGTATACCTCAACTTACGTCATTTCGAGTTACATCGTTCCCGATTATACGTTGTTTGTCAAAAAAGAGTATGGAAAAATAAAAATTAAGTTTAAGTAATTTTATTCGACTTTACGTCTGTCCGCCACAAATATTGAAGTCGTAATATCACTAGAAAAACGTTTAAAGCACATAAAATCATATTAAAATATATACAAATATGTACTGTATTTACAGTACATGCATTCGTAAATTTAGATTACTTTTTTCTGTACTATATTAAAAACTAAAATTTATTTGTTTGTAAGCTTAAAATAGATCCTTATTAACCATATATTATTAAAAATGCATTAATAAATAAAATACAGAACTGGAATTGGTAATTTATGGTTTAGTTTAGTGACAAGTAGATTCAGAGACAAGTAAATTCGACTTACGTCACCTCTCCTGGAACCAATTACCAACGTAAGGTGAGGTATACCTGTAATTATTTATTGGAATTAAAGTATATTTGAGACCAATAAATGTCTGAGTTTTAGAGAAAATGAATATCTTGTTAAATATAATTGAATATTTATTGTGATAGCTAATAAATTTTAATAGAAATTTTCAGTGAAATAAATTTGAGTTAAATTTATAATGAGTAAATCATATGAAAAGTTAATGTACATGAATGATATAGCCAGCTATATAAATATTTTATTAGTGAGAGTTACTTATCAAATTCTGTTGCTTTTTATCACATTTTAATACACGTACTGTACAGTAATAAATTTTGACATATTTTTATCCATTTTTAAACTTTTAAATCTTTTAAAATCATTAGTCAGTTTAAATTGTATATCTACAGAATAGTGTTTATGGCATGTTCAAGTTTAGGGTTTTCTTAATTGTGTAATGATGACTCATCAGAAAATAAAATTAATGCAATTTTAATATAAATAATAGCTAAGTAGACAAATGAATATATTCTTTTTCATATTAGTGTCTAGAAATCTGTATTTATAAAGTCAATTTCTTGCTAATTTTAACTTGGGAAGAAAGTTTTCCTGAAATATAGATTATTCTCTCAGATAACTCATGCTTTACTCCCTCCTAGATCCAGAGATTATGTAGGAACAAAAAGACATATATTATCATTTGTTTTATTATTTAGATTATCTGATTAGATGAATTAAACAGTAAAGAGATAATGTATTTATTTCAGATTTATTCACAAAATTTACTTTTGTTTCATGATATAACATAATATATTTGCAAGTTTAACTCATATTAAACTTGCAAATATATTATGTTATATCATGTCAGTTTATTTAATTATTAAATAATAATAATTAAATAAACTGACATCATACAAAATTGGCTTGAATCAGTTTGCATTTTCCATATGTCACTCTTGTTTACAACATAAATGAAAAATGTTTTAGATAAATTTATAAGGAATTTGTAATTTCTTGTATTTTTATGTCAAGCATTATACCAATTAAAGTTCACAAAAACTTGTCTAATGATAACTGAATAGCTGAGTAAGTAACACCATCGGGCTATTTGTTCTGATGCGTTCAGATTAGAGCTTAGTTTGGATTGTCAGGAATTTCATGGATGGTTTGTCTTAGATGTATTAGCTCCATCTCCCAGTTACTTTCTTGAATTTGACTGAATTTATGATGGACATGAAAAAGGCCTCTTAGTGTCCACAAGGTATTATAATAATAATTGTCATGATGGCTATTCACAACTTATACATAAACAAATATATAGCGTATATATACATTAATTTAAACAAATATATAACATATATATACGCTATATATTTGTTTATGTATAAGTTGTGAATAGCCATCATGACAATTATTATTATAATACCTTGTGGACACTAAGAGGCCTTTTTCATGTCCATCATAAATTCAGTCAAATTCAAGAAAGTAACTGGGAGATGGAGCTAATACATCTAAGACAAACCATCCATGAAATTCCTGACAATCCAAACTAANCATTTTCTTTTATATATATTTCTTTTTTATTTTTGTATTGTCTTCTAATTGCATGTTTTCCTCTTCTATATAACTTGTTTACGGCCTTTTGTATTAAAAAAATATCTCAACTGGCATATATCCAATTTATTTCCATATTTGGCTGTTGATTCCAATTTGAAATAATAAAAATATTTTGGCTAATAAAAAATTCAGTTTAGGCTAGTTCTGTTTTAATTATAATCTTTAAACCATTTATGTTTTCATTAGGAAATCTGTTTAAATGAATTTTAATAAAAATTTTCAAATATGATTATACTTATTTCACAGTTGATAGATTTTAATAATAATGTCAAAACAGTATAATGCATACAGTACAGGTATTAGTTTCATAATGGTATATATTTATAGTAAAATGAAAGATTGGATGTAGGCATGCAAACCGTTTTTCCTTTTCCTTCTCAGAACATGATTAATAAACATGAGGTCTGTTGTAAATGGAAAAGTAGCATAAAATTTTAAAAATTTTCCTTAAATCTATAAACAGGATATAGTTATTAGATTGATATATACTTGTTGTCTGGTAATGTGAAGTTCTATGTCAAGAAATGGGATGTAAAAATGCATAATTACTCAGTTTTTTTAAAGTACTAGAATCAAAAATAAATTATTCATTGTCTGAAATCATAATTTTAAGTTAGATAAACAAAATACTAATTGAATTATAATATTTTTTTTAATTGAAAATTTTCTAACAAAATTTTTATTTTTATAGATTGTATTCTTCTTGTTTAGTATGTGTTTGTTCTGTACAATTGCCTGTGGTGTTTGGGAAACTGTTACTGGTAGACATTTTCGTATCTATTTACCTTGGGAGGATTTAGTTCCTAATAGAACTACAGAGGGGGCCACTGTTATTTCTGTTTTGGTTTTTTTCTCATATGCAATTGTATTAAACACTGTTGTACCCATATCGTTATATGTCAGGTAAAGTATGACTTTTTAAGTATTATTTGTTGCATACTTTGACAGTTCTAGTTTCTAATCAAAAATTAATGTTATAATTTGTTATACAGTGTAGAAATTATAAGATATTTGAATAGTCAGTGGATTAACTGGGATCAACAGATGTACTATGCACCCAATGATACTCCTGCCAGAGCCCATACGACCACATTAAATGAAGAATTAGGCCAGATAGAATATGTCTTCTCAGACAAAACTGGCACATTAACACAGAACATTATGACTTTTAACAAATGTTCAATTATGGGACATATGTATGGAGAAGTCCTTGATGAGGTAACAAAGGAACCTATAGAAATAACAGAGGTGATTATTTTTATATAAAATATTTTATTTATGATGAACTTGTTGTATTTTATACTACAATTACAGCCTTACATTGGATATCCAGAAAGATGTTTTGTATTAGATATTGCAAGTTCATATAAAAAAACTAAATTATTTGAGTATATTTAAAATATTTTACAATGCAAAAAAAATTTTATTTCAGAACACACCTTCCGTCGATTTTTCAGTAAATCCCCTGTATGAACCAAGCTTTAAGTTTTACGATAAAGCTCTGTTAGATGATGTAATGCATGGAGATAAACATGCCCATGAATTTTTTCTTCTTCTTGCATTATGTCACACAGTTATGTGTGAAGAGAAAGATGGTAATTTTTAATTTTATCATAAATGTTTGACAATGAACTAATCATTTTTTTGTAAATTTAGCCTTTGATTTAATAAACTGTTTTGAAGGTCACAGTTTTGTTTATAATAGCAAGGTAGTTAAGTTATTGTTTACTTAATTCCAGTTATTTATAAAGAATTGAAGACAATTTTTACCTTCAACTAATTCTGAGGATATTAATTAATCATTATCATTTTTCATACTGGAAAAACATCTCAAATTTTGTTTAATTTTTATATATTGAAAATCAGATTTTAAGTTTAAACTTCCTGTTAAACATTTCTATCTTCTTTAAAAAATTTAGCAATGTTAATTTTTGAAAGTTTATCCTTAATTTCTGGCCTGTTAAATTATTTATGAAGCTGTAATATAAGAAATTAAAGGAAACTTTTACTAAATTTCCTTATATGAAGTCTTTAAAGTTTAATTTCAAGGTTTTGTATTTCAATTTCAAGGAAAAATTTATTTATTTAAAGTGTTCAGTTTTAATTACATAAATAAATATTTTAACTTTTATAATTGGTTTCATTTTTTTGCCTTTGTAATATAATAATTATTTAATAAATATCATTAAGTTGTTAAATGATTCATTAATATTACAAACAGGACGTTTAGAATATCAAGCCCAATCTCCTGATGAAGCCGCACTTACTTCAGCAGCAAGAAATTTATAAACTGACATCATACAAAATTGGCTTGAATCAGTTTGCATTTTCCATATGTCACTCTTGTTTACAACATAAATGAAAAATGTTTTAGATAAATTTATAAGGAATTTGTAATTTCTTGTATTTTTATGTCAAGCATTATACCAATTAAAGTTCACAAAAACTTGTCTAATGATAACTGAATAGCTGAGTAAGTAACACCATCGGGCTATTTGTTCTGATGCGTTCAGATTAGAGCTTAGTTTGGATTGTCAGGAATTTCATGGATGGTTTGTCTTAGATGTATTAGCTCCATCTCCCAGTTACTTTCTTGAATTTGACTGAATTTATGATGGACATGAAAAAGGCCTCTTAGTGTCCACAAGGTATTATAATAATAATTGTCATGATGGCTATTCACAACTTATACATAAACAAATATATAGCGTATATATACATTAATTTAANCAAATACACACACACACACACACACACACACACACACAGCTAATATTTATTGTATTTTTGTATGCATTTTCCATGGTTTTTGTGTTTAAAAGACAAGGTGGTTGGCTATGGGCTATGCCAGTAGTTCTAAAAGTTATTAATCCAAGGACCACATCAAAACCAAGTCAGATGAACTCCAGTGCAAGTCAGACCATTTATACCCTTGTCCATTTCTTATAATGTGAATGTTGCCTTAGATAATGATGGATTGTGTGATACATAAATGTTTTCTCTGGCTAAACAATATAGAATTGCAATTTGAAAAAAATGTCTAGGTCAGTCAGTCTGAGATCACCTGGTGCAAACTAGAGTCAGGAAAACTGACTACTAGTAATGACTCCTGGGACAATTGACAACAAAAAAATTTTCAGTTGCAGTTTCAGTGTTTTTCCACTTAACCAATTTTATATAATTCTGGAATTTCTTTATTACTGAATAATATCCAATTTGGGATAAAACAATTTAATTGAAAATTATTTAAAAATGGCATGTAAAACGAGACTTCAAAAATTTATTCATAAGAATTAAAATTGCAAATAAATCCAAAAATTATCTAGGATTTGTTATTTTTGTCTTTTGGTCAATGTTAATCACATAAAGTGAATCAAGAAAACTCTTCCTGATTTTCAAAAGAAAAGATGAGCAACTGAAACTATGACTAAAAATTTTTGGGTGATCGGTTTTCTTGGGCGATCAATTACTGACAATTATTTTACTAGTTCTGACAGTCAGTCAGTGGCAGTCACAAATCATGTAAACTTGTGCATAAGGAGCAATGACTGTTCTATAGGCATGGAATATAGTGGAACAGTTTAGGTGATTTTTCATTCTAGCAACATTTTTGTGGATTATATGTTTGAAAATATGATATTTAAATTTAAGTTAAATATGAAGATAAATTTCAATTGTATTATTTGTTGAGCTAACATTAAACATTTAATTATTAAACTTTAATGCAATAATTTATTTTTCAGCATCGTACACCAAACAGTATTATTGTAGAAGTAATGGGACAGATAGAGCATTATGAACTATTAGCTATTTTGGATTTTAACAATTATCGTAAACGCATGTCTGTGAGTAATATTTAAAAATTTTTTCAATATAAATTATAAACCTTTCTTAATTTTCCTGTTAAACATTTCAGGTGATAATTAGAAAAAATGGAAAAATAAAATTATTCTGTAAAGGTGCTGATTCTGTGATATTTGAAAGACTCAATCCTGATAGTGCAGAAATCAAGTTAAAAACAATAGAACACTTGAATGTGAGTATTTAATATTTGTTTTTAAAATGTTTTATCCTAAATAATAAAACAAAATTTTTTTTCTATTTGATGAGTTGCATAATGTTGAGTTTTGAAATGTGACTAGGATTGAAATTTTACTACGTCATTGTTTTAGATATCAAGCTTATTTTTAATGATAATTTATAACTGATAATCATATTACTTGTGTCCTGTTTTCATTTTAAAAGTGATTTGTTGAAAATATTTCATAATGATGACAAATTTTGCACAAAAGTGAGCTTTATACTTTAAAATATTTGTTTTAATAATCTGAAAAGCTATAATTTTTGAAATATTTTTACATTCTATTGATATTAATCATTTTTTGTTTTGAAAACTTAATTTGTAAATTAGCTAATCTATAAAATTCTGCATATATTTATCATATGAGATGATTAGATAAGATATCTATCATTTGATTTTGATCATTCAAGATTTTGTAACTTTTTTTTTCTTTTTGAAAAGTGTCTCACTTTTAATTATTAGTCCTTAACATAATTTATAAAATTTATAGAATTATTTATGTCACTTTTCTTTTAGTTCAAAGGAATATATTATATTAAAATCAACATTTGTATTTGTATTTTTGGTATTCTTAGACTAATATTTCTGGTAGTTTATAAGGAAAATTTTCATAAAATCAATAGAGGTTGTTTTTCAGCTTTTTAATTTTACTATAAATCATTTTTAAATCTATAGTCATTATTTATGACTAAAAATTCAATTTAAAACAACATTCTAAAACATAATGAATCACAATTGATGTTTATTATGTAGATTTTCTTTTAGTTTCTAAAAACTACTTTGTTATAATATTTTTCAAATATGATCTTATTATGTATAATAGTTTAAAATAAGATGTTTGCAGAGAAAAATTTGCATTTTTTAAATGAGCAATCTTAATTATAAAAATTTTATAAAATCATTTTTTATTCATTCATTTTCTGTAGAACTATCTATGAATTGAAATGGCTAAAAAATATTCACTTGTTTTATGTGAACAAACATTGCTTCTATTTGTTCAGATAACTTTCCCGCACTATTTAAATGTTATCAAATATTTTTGAAACTGTAATAATTTGAGATAAAATCAGAATGTTGCATAACTTTATACATACTTTTTCTGATAAAGACAATTTGTAAAATAAAGTCATATGTATTTAAAAAATATATTGTGAATTATATGAAATTTTTTCTGAAACAGTGATTGCAGATATTTCAAAAGTGTTTTATAATAAAATCATACTTATAACAAATATTAAAAAAGTAATACATTACAACAAATATATTTTAATACAGTAGAGCGTCGATTTTCCGAAAGTCAATCATCCGAAACGTCAATCATCCGAAACAATTCCAGTTGGCAAATTTAAATTTTCGCTAGTGCTGTGGCGCTTCAATCTTTGACTATGTCTTGGGCTACTCAAATATTTTACGTTTTTGATACTAAATTAACATCTGAAGTATAATTTTTTATTGTTTTTATATTTTTCAATATATTTATTTTGTTTGTACAAAATAAAAAAATAATTTTTAACGATACAATAGTCTTTGTTAGGCTTAACATCGACGAAAATTCAACGCAAAGCGACACGCAACGGAGAAAAATTTCGAAATCGGATACGTTAAACTATTTTTTCGTACGTAAATCAGTTATCCGAAATATCAGTTATCCGGACAACCCCAGTCCCCAATTGATTCAGAAAATCGACGCTCTACTGTATTAATATTTTCATTATAGATATTGCTTAAAATTTTAAATAAAACAGAAATATATGGAAAAGTATTGTTTATTGGGTGCTTTAGATTATATATTTTTAATTTGTAAACCTTTACTTGTTTACAAATAAAGTTTACAAATTTTATAATTTATTGGTTTTTTACTTATTCAAGATTACAGATCCTCTTTCATATATAGGCTATTTATATAAAGCTCAATAAATTGCTTTATATACTTTATATGATTTTATAAAATAAACTCTAAGTAACTATCTTTCAATACTTGTTTTTGAATTGACATTTTGTAACTGTTGAAAAATGTACATATTTTTTTATAAATGTCTAGTAAGCAGAGAAATAAGACTCCCATTTCTGAAAGTTAAATTTTCAGCAAACTTAAGGTCAGTAGCAGAAAAGTTATTGTTGAAAGTTAAATTTTGATTTTTATGATAACTACAAAATTATTTCAAATATTTTTTGTTCAAATTAAAGAAATTTGATAATCATATTATTGTGCAAGCAAATACTAATTAAAAAAATATTATTTTATCTAAAACATAGTTTTAAAACAGCATCTCATCTGAAAAGCTATATCTGATTTATGAATATTTTTCACATTAATCATGGATGTTTGGGAAACTTCTTGCCTGCATGTGACATATTCAGTACAATGAAAATCATAGTTCTAAAAATATTTCCAAAATAAATTATATTTTTCATATTCAGTCATTCTTGTAAATAATGAACAAATTTTACTACAAACTTTAAATTCTGTTTAAAGTTTGTTTTTGTTATATGACTGATGATGGGAGAAATAAATTTCTAATACAAACTATAGTTTATCAAAAAGGAAATTGACTTTTGATGAATTGAGTACATATATATATCCTCAATCTTATGAAATTTTCATAAAAATTCTGGAAAAAATTAATTTTTTAAATATAGGATTATATATTTCAACAATTTAGGATTATTTTAGTTTAGATAATAAATTTTATGAATTGTGTCACTTACAAAAACAGAATAAAATCAGTATTTATTTTATAATAAAAATATCTTTGTGTGTGTGTGTGTATGTAAAATAAATACTTGCTTAGATTTTCTGTAATGCCATAAGAATTTTACTTTCTTGGCTATTATAATATAGCACATGAAAGTACTGTAAAGAGTCAAATTTGACTCTCTTGACATTGAGACCCCCAGAATCCGAAAAAGTCAAATGGAAAAAACTTTCCAGGGGTGGTTGTGTGTATGTGATGGCATTTATTTCATTTAATGTCTCAGGAATAGGGGTAAAGATTAAGAAACAAAATTTGGCTTGGTAACTTGGACATTGATGCTATTAAATTTTGGAGTACAGAACTCAATTTGGGATGGAGAGATAGAGGGGTGGTCATGTGTCATATATTGAGGTTAGACTTAATGAAAATTTTACTTGCTATTGGCATTTACAATATTTATAAAAACTTTCCCCTACTGTCAAAATTAAGTTGTTTTTAATAATAGTTATTAATATAAGAATTATTTTTAAAAAAAGCTCATGACATATGATGCCACATCCAATTTTAACTTTGAGTTAATATCTTAGTGTTTTTAACCTTAAATATTTTTTTAATGGAGAATTTTATCATAATTCAACAAAATTACTCTTTTTAAGCTTTTGTTATTATTTAAATTGTATATCCTAGTATAATTGAAAATTATTAGACTTCTTAATGGTCCCCTTAACTGTTGTTCAAGTGTGTGGAAAGTTGAACAAGAGCCCTTGTCAGCTTTTATGTATTTATGTGCAAAGTTTTACTTTTATACATATTTTCCTCATTTTTTTTTAATGAGAAATACTTTGTTATTTGATATCAATAGTTAAAATTATCTCTGTAAATTCTGGTGATTAGCAAATCAGACTAATTGATGATTCATTTTTTTTCCTTATGAGATTTGTAATAAATTTCATTGAAGAATTTGATCAGAATGAATTATTTTTCTGAATGGATAGATTTGTTGAATTAAAATATTTTATTAGTTTAAGAATAATTCTTTTTATTTTAGAAGACATCTATAATATCAACTATAAAATTTGTAAAATTATATAAGTGTAGAAAGTAGGAAAAAAATTGAAGTGTCATTAATTTTCATATAATAAAATTAGAAAAAAGGAATTAATGATATGATATTAATTAAACACACTATTTTGAATTATTTACTGTAATAAATTTGAACATTAAGAGTTATTCTGTTGACAAGATTCAGAGTTATGGTGCTTCTAGAATGCTTGTTTCTGGTCTTATAATTTTAGAACTGGCATTTTTTTTTAAAAATAAAATTTACCTTTATTTATTTATTTTTTTTACCTTTTTATAACTAATACTTTTTATGAAATAAAATTTTAGGACAGGTGTCAATTATAAACTGCATATTATATATACATACAGAGTAAACATTTTAGATATATAAGGCATTAAAATTAAATAAGACTATTATTTTTTTTTATCATAAATTACAGATAAACAGAAAATGTACATTTCCAATATGCATGAAATTTATTAAACTTAGACATTGGATAACCAGTATTTTGTTTAGATACAAAAAATGAAATTTTCATAACTAACAGTACAAAAGAAAAGTAATTATAATAAGGGAAAATATATCAAACTCATAAATTTTAAAATTATTATTCTATTGTGAAATAAAAGCTTGTTTTCAAATTATACAATTATTTTCTATATCCTCTGTACCATACATGAATTTAGAAAATGTTTATTTTAAATCACATGAAAAATATTTGTTTTATAAACATTTTAAATGTAATATTAAACTACAGTATATTTCTTCTATGATTTTATAAATTTATATATCATGTATAAATTATATGAAATCATATAATCATATATTTCAAAATTTTCATTGATATTTTTAAAATATAAATTATTTTGAATACTTTTTATTTTTATTGTATTTTTTCGTAATCAGATTGAAATTGTATTTTCTAAAAGGACATTTAGATCAAATTCTTATGTTACATGTTCTATGTAATACTTTTTTTGGTTGAATTTAACAATATACAATATCTAATAATTATTTAAGTTTAATAGTTTTGGACATGTTTATATTGAAATAAAAAGAAAAGGAAGAGAAGATTGTTTTCTTCATGATCAGGATTAAGTTTAGAGCTTTCTTTAACATAGAGCTTTAATTTGTTTCTAATAATTCTAGTATTATTGAATAATCACCATTAATCACCAACTAGTATTTTAAGTTAC